ATGACAAAATTACAAACACGCGAATGAGCATAAAATAACTTACATCGTATGAGTGAAAGTACTGGAAAACGACAAAGCGAAATAAACAAGGATACTTACAAGACGAATGTGACCAAACCAAAGACGAAAACATGAAACCCAGAGCTAGATATGTAACGGTAATTTTCACAAACTAGACAACTAACCAAATAAATTACGCGCAACCAATATATATACGATATGCAAATAAATATAACAAGTACAAAACTGGTAACTGACAAAGGACACTAATGGAAGACGAGAAAATAAACACCTAACACGAAACTATGAAACACCAACACTAACAAAAAATGATAGTACAAATTCTTGCGCCTACAATAGTATCTAACCTTTATCTCGCTTGGCCAACTGAAAAATGCTCCCGGAAAAAGCTCCTGTTAAGGCTTCCAATGATGCAACCGTCATTTCTAAAGAAGTCAAAAAGAAGTAACAAGAACAGTTAGCTCTGAATAAATCAATAACAATGGAGGAGAATACGCTGCCTTTGCCATGACATCTGCGAATGGTTAGACATCCTAGACTTATCGAATTAGGGCGACAAACCGAAGCCTCCTCAGTCTCTTTAATGGCTGTCAGGGACGTTAAAAAAATCTGTGCACTTCAAGAGTAGGGGACATAGCTGCCGGTGTTGTGGTCTGGCCATGTTTCCAAAAAATTCCTAGATTGGGAGCACCTACAAAGTTTTCTCTCAAGAATTGTGAATTGCTTAATACAGTCTCGCCCAATTCTCCAAAAAGTGTTGTAAAGCGTATTAGAACATGTCAATATGGAGAATACGCTTTATGAACTCATCATTTTCATTATCATTATATAGTATTCCATAGTATTGCAAGAGCAAAGGACTTAACGACAAGAAATATAACGAATTCCTAACAGATCACTGCCTTAATTCAAGCATGACAAAATTAATTACTTCATTTCAATTAAAAACTCATATTTACCTGCCCTCTCTTCGTACAAAGGTTTTCCTCTCAAGCCCATCAGAAATGACGTTATGAAAATTAATACAGACAGACATCGTCCATCACGGTGCGAATGCATCGTTTGTTTAGTCCCAATCTCTCTTGCAAAATACCATCCACCTCCTTGAATCAGGTACATAGTTCATCTTTTGAATCTTCATTCCCAAACTTTACTGACGGTTATTTCGCTCTTTTTATTTACACTATTTTTAAACAAAAGAAGCAGACTAGTAATTTAATAGATATAATTTACCATCAATTATCAACATCCTTCATTTACATTCTCGATTGGGTTTGTGTACACAAAACATTCCTTTAGATCTATGTGTTGCTCGAAGGCACTTTCATACCGACATTCAAATAGTTTTTCTTTTCTCAGTTTACTATAATTTTCATTAAGTTAAGGGTTTCAAGTTCTAATGAGAAATTACCCAAGACTTTAGAGTGCTTTGAACTCTCATTGGCTGACATAAGAACAAAGTTAAAACAATATAGTTGTTATATTTTCAAGGCACGAAGGAGTACAGAATTCTTCGTCTCACTTCGCTCTCTCAACACTAGCGGCCTTGGATTTTCATCAAGAAAGTTTGAAGTCAGATGAAGTCATACTAACCCATAAAAATCGCAATGCTTCGTAGCTTTTTGATACTTTGAACACTCATATTTCTCTGTAGTCATCTAGAAACAAGCTCATTAACCTCGAACTCCTAAATTCGCCGGTTCAGCAATCTCTTAGTTTACGGCCACAGTGGACTTTTCTGCAAGCGATTTAACTCTAAAAAGTTGATTGAAGTTTAAAATGCGAAACAATCTGCTATGAAATTGTAAGTTAAGTTTTCTTAAAGAGTGGCCCTGAAATTTCGACACGGGGGCCCTCGGTCTAAGTCACGAAAGCAGAGTTAATTAGTTGTTATATCATCGAAGAGTTGTCACTATTTATGTACACAGGGTTTTTAGCAATCCCACTCAAAACAAACAGATGCTTGATATCATTTTGCATCTGTAAAAGAAGTACTGTAGAACTTCGGTTATAAAAACTTTTCACACTCGAATTTATCCTCAACTCGAATTTTTTCAGTCATCGCCATCAGCTAACTAACTTAAATCTTGAGTTTCGTCCAAAGTCTTCGTTTTCACTGGCAACTAGAGCTTTCCCTATGAGGGTGGGGGTGGGGATAAGTTTATTCAGGGGTTTTTATATGAGAATAGTGCTAAAAGAGGGAACGTAATTGAGCAGCTGAAGAGGACAGGGGTCAGGGAAAAGATATGACTAGGGAGCCCTTAAAAAGACGATTACATACACACTATAAAATTCTGGGGGTGGGGGGTGGGGTGGGGATAGATTTATTCAGACACACTTAAAAATCTGTGGACAGGTAGGCGATAATAAACATTTTGATGTGATAAATGGATTCATTTTTTAATTACGTTCTCTCGTGTCGCTTTAATTTTTTGTGTGTAACCTCTCCAGGAAATCGTAGTTTTAGAAATTTAAAAGTACGACTAGGTCCAGGAAGGTGCTCCTTAGAGGAAAGAGCTGTCTTGAGGTCCAGTTGAGGAATAAACATGATGTTTAGACTTAAATATTTTAGTTTTCAAAACTATTAAGACGATGAATAGACCAAGTTATGATAAGGTGTTAGATTCTCACCTACCCATGATGCTAGGAATGTGTCCGTAAATTAGTTTGGAAAATACGTAACTTGTGAAACAATTAGCGTACAGCTATTAAAGGAAACGAGTCATTGAACGCTGAAGTAAAATCTATTTCCAAAATAGTTCGGCTGCGTGCAAGAGCAAGAAAAATCCGCTTTCGTTGATACGTTTCATATTTTTACTGAATTGAGACCTAGCTAAATATAAATATATAAGAAAAGAAATGAAAGTCGTACTAAGCTTCCTCGTAATGGCAAGTTTACATTTTCCAATTTTAACTTAACCAGTTCATTTAGATTTCTCCAGTCAACAAATGGAGATCATTTGATAAACAGTTTAAATATTTCAAAAGCTTCTGAAAATAGTGTTGGGAGAGAAATTTAAAGGAAGTTAATAGCAATTTCTTACTTAACCTGAAACAAGAAGTGATGAACTGGTGATGCTCTAGCATAGAATAAATAAGGCAAAAGACTTAAACGCGAGTATATTTTATACCAGGTATTTCCCAATGTTTTGTGGAGCGGCACCTGTTTATTCAGTAAAACAATTCAAAGACTATAAACATGAAGATTTAGTCATATGTAAACTACTGCGGACAATTCAGATATGCAATTCGTTCAATAATTCGTCCCTTTTGTCTTTAAGAACCTTTTAATTGAACAAAATATGTATGTAAAAAAACGAAACAGAAACATTTTGTACCCAAATCGAATCAATCAAAATCGAACTTTACAAGTTTTTGTAAATAGTTTTGACAATTTTTTATATATCGAAGGCTACAGAAAAATATTCGAACATTTCTTGAAAACAAAGAAGAAAAGTGGCAAGATTCCTGCACAATTCTACTAAATAAGTAAAAATAAGAAATACTAAAGTTTTCTATTATTATTTTCTATTATCTTTTAATTTTCCCGTTGTCACTTATCAGAACAGTATTTCTGATTTATTTTTTTTATCATTGTTTATAATCAATTCCTTGCATTTCTATGACATTCAACGGAGATCCTGCCAAAAATGTCTGTAGTCACACTATAAAAATCCTTCTATTCGGGTGGAACTGGAAATTTCCTCACACCAGAAGTCAATTTCTTTACATTTCTTTCCTATTCCTTGAAATATTTGCTTTAAATTACTTGAAAACAGGAAAGTCACTGAAGATGTTTGACTTTTCCCGTGACACTGTGTTCATAATCCCAGCACGACTTCATTAGATTTAACGGGGATTTATTTAGAAATAAATGCTATTTTGAGAGGGAAAAAGGGCATAAAGTTTACTTACCAAATGTCACATCGTCTGATTGTTTCTTAAATATAAAATTCTACTCATATTGTCGTTCGTCTCAACTGGCTTTCAAGATTCCACAGATAACTACACTCATGCGCGAAAGTTACTTTCCTTCCAAGAATGCATTCATAGGCATAATGCTTCTTACTCTTGAAATCATAATGCTTTTACAGTGTGGAAAAAATGACAGGCTCCTCAATAGACCCTGCTGAAGTCACAGCGAGCAATTCGCTGTGATCCTTTGGTCAGTGGGTTCTGTAGAGCAGACCGTGAGGGAAACGGAACGAGACTAGGTACCAGAATGAAGAAATACGACGCTCGTACCCATACCTTACACGGCCAAGCGGTTGTAAGTTGCAGTTACACGGTAGGGTTTGGGTACAAGATTATACTTAACAATTATTCTACTCGCGCTGGTTGGATATGAGATATAGATAGCCAATGAAGCCCGTGGAGTCTCTTTAAATTTCTTTAAAAACTCTTCGATAAAAAGACAATATTTCAACCGACAGGGTCCTCAGTCTCTTCAACGTAAAGCAATTTCAAATTCTGCAAGGGACCCCAGGAAAATTAAAGTCGCTCATTTTTAGGCTGCTTTTCATAAAAGAACGTAATCGCATTTTATTCTTTATTGTAAACACTCACAGTGCCCCTCTCCACCTAGGAGTATAAATGGATTTCGGTGAATCGTCAAAGAAGCCTAACGAAATACTGGGGGGGGGGGGGGGGGTTAACTTTGCGATGGACCAGCATCCCACTTAGGGAGGAGTAGTAATGCTCCTGGTCGCTACGTGTTATGGAGACCAGACAATCTCCGGCTCATGTAGAAAATTTACCTGCCTTTACTCACATCTGAACATGCGGGTAGGTTTGATCCACGTGAGGCTCTTTGTTAAAATCGAAAAAGAAACAAATAGATGGAAAAGTCTTTCTCGACACGTTTATTAATTTTTCCTTTTCAAATGAGTATTGTTTTTACCTGGTATTTACAGTCTTCTCACTTCTAATTATTTTAACGTTTAACTAAAATTGGTTGAATCCTTTTAACTCCGATGAGTGACTAAGACAGAATTTCTCTTTACAATATCAACAGGATATCAAGGAAAAAAGCAATGAAAATAAAAAAAAAGATATATCGATTAAGGGGTTATAATTGATCCAATACCAAATTCTCCAAACTTACTTCATAACAATTGTATCGCACACAGTGTGGAGACTTACCAATGAGATCTTAGGAATTAAAAGGTCAACGTTGTAACCTTGCTTTTTTTTCTTTAACTTTCTAAGCACTTTTTAACTATTATTCGCAATATTTTATAAGACTTTAACGTCCAATGCTTGAAGAAATCGTTTTTTTTTTTTCATTTAAGAGATTTAAGCGGGATGCCTGAGGCGATATCATCAGATTTCCGATTCCCCATCGAAGGGCCTTGTCGCGCTTTCAAACTATTTCCTCGGGAACAGTGGTTTGTAAATGACTGTTGTTGGTTGGAGCGCAGAGATGAGGCCTTGAAGACCCTTCGAGCTCCTTGTCTAAAGTTGTGGTGCATTATCAAGAACAGCCAAGGGGAAATGGCGCTGTTCGCGTGACAAGACCAGAAGGACATTAACAGCACCAAAGGATGGAGGGAGAAATATGTTTCTCTTTGAAAATACGACAAGAAATGCATTAGATGCGCAGGAATCCAGCAGATGGCAAATACAACAACAACAATAATCAACATTCGGACCACTTTTCTCTTCGATTGCTCCAAGACGCGTGCATTTGACAGAGTATGCTGCCCCGGGATTTTTCTATGCCAGAGTCTTTTCCCGATCAAGGTGTAGGCTAAAGCAATTCCAGTGAGAGGTAGAGAATAAAGTAAAAAGAAAACGATGAAGAAATAGGCTTGAGAGGCGATCTCGTTATCCAAAGGTTCCCAGCTGATAATGCACAAAGGTGCAGTTCTTACCGCAACAACCCTGAATTGAAACAAGTACGGTGACATGAAGACACAAGAAGAAATCCAAATTCCCAGAGACGCCCATTTGGTACTTCGCAATAAGAGCGGACGGCGCCTGAGCGCATAAAGAACGGCGTAAAAACGATCCAATGAAATCAACAGTAAAGCGATGATCGAGGCGGCTATCGAGAGCGCGTACGAAAAGTGCGTCAGCTTACATGTGACGTTGCCAAGGCTACCGGACAGCCAATGATATTGAAGAAAAACGTACAAAACAGAATACGGCATGGCAAACAACGTCACCAATAAGTTTGCCACACACATGTTGACAAGGAGCATGTTTGTAAGATGTCGCATCGAGGGCAACTTGTACACAAGATAAATGACGATAATGTTGCCTAGCAACGCCGCTGGAAAGATGATACTATAGGCGACAGTCATCGTTGCTTTGGTAGTTGTGTCTGTTGTTGATAAAGACACAATGTCTTGTACTTGAGGAAGTGTAACATTAGTATTGTTTATTGTTTGATCCATCTGCTAAACAAAACATAAAAGTTATCACTTTGACTCAATTCATTTTCCCTAGATATCGAAGGCACTTGCAGTTTGATTAAACAACAGCAAATCAAGTTCTAATGCGCCCTTTAAAATCGTCTGCGCGTATCACGGACAAGTCGATATTTTTCGCCCAGGGAGGGGGCTGGGTGGTGGACGATTTATTAGAGGATCACATGATTTTCAGGGGGGAGAGGATAGGGATGGTTTTTTGCCAATGGAGCATAATGGGGGAGGTATAGAAAATTGACTTCCTTTTAACTGCATATGAGGGAGAGGAAAGATTATTAGAATATTAGTGAGCCTTATGGGGGGATCAGGTAAAATTTTTACTGTTAGACGACCAAAATCCTCCCCCTCCCCCTAGGGGATAAATAATGACTTGTCATAAATAATTTTTTTATTTTTTTATCAACTGAGTTGATAATATAAATTGGCCACCATAACGAGTTTCAAAGCTGACGTTTCGAGCTTTGCGTCAGAGCGTCAGAGCGAATGACAAAGGGCTAGTGTTCGAAACGTAATCGTAATTATCTTGCTACACTCCCTCACCGACGCAGCGCGAAAGTTTCTCTAGAAACTTACACCCATAATATTTACATAGTTGCTTATCGTTTGATTCACCGATCAGGTGAGGATTATTTCCCAAAAAACTACGGAGCTGTTCTCATATTTGTTTTTGCTTTTGCTTCATGACATTCTTGACTTTCAAAACGAAGGACGTTCTTTCTCGCGACCATAGGAGTTAAATTAAATTCCATGTGGGCGTATAGAGACACTCAGACCGTCAGATTAAGATCCCCGAGGCAAAATTTGGTTAAGGAAATTATACGAGGGGCGTAGTGTTTCACTAAGAATATAAATTGTGAACCTAAATGACGGAAGAATCCCGAGAAAAGGGTTTTTTTATTTGTTTTTTGAGAGCTAGTGACTTCCTTAAAGACGTCCATTGAATTGGTGCAGCAGAGTGGGCGACTCTTTAAATCGTCATCTAAGTTCTTTTATGTAGAATTTGATGAAAAGTTCTTTGACCTTAAAGCGAGTAAAATTTAAGGGAATGTTCTCTTAATCAAGATATTGGCAGGGTTCAGACTCGTAAAGAAGATTTTCCAATAGTTATAATCCTCGTGGCATTTCTACTAAAAATGCATGGTAACGAGAAAGATTCGTCCGCATGAAGAAAGTGAACGTTAGGAGGGGATTAGGGTTTTTCAACAAAACGTCAGGAGGGATGAAAGTTCCTGACTATGTCCTTATCGAAATCTAGAAGGAAGACTGATACTTATTTGTTATAAATTGCTAAAGTATGGTAAGAGGGGTGAAGTGGCTGAGGGTCAAATGAACCTATCTAGCTAAAGTACCTCTACGTCTATGAAAAAGAGTTGAAGGAACTGCTTTTCACTAAGTTACTTTTTTTGTAAGAGCAGGAATAAGGATATGATGACCGGGATTTGATGCAAGCTTGTAGCGGTCGACTGTAGAAGCTCAAAGTTAAGAGTGAATGAATGATTCGAATCCGTCTTTTACAGCTTGTAAATCAAAATGACGTCAAGGGCTTCAAACAAAAGCCGGTTACCAGCGATCTTACGCCGCATATAAGACCTATTTCCGCCATCTGTTTAGCCTGCGCAGGATCTCGTACACAGCCGCCTATTACATAATCGACAGCCGCTTATGGAAAAAGTTCTTGAATCCTTTACGTGCGTGTGGACGACATGATGTATTCTTTTTGAAAAACTGAATTCAGAACGAAAACAAAACCTCGTCTAACGACCTTTCACGTGCAAATAAGTTTCCTAGTAATTAAACCAACAATTATTCACCGTGTTATGCCTTGAAATTTGAGGTCCTCGCTTCGAATTATATGGGCAGTGCATGTAATGCGTAACCTCATGGAAACTTTGAAAAATGGTTCAGTAAAAATAGCCTACGTAAATAAACGATTTTTCATCTATTCATGTTAAATTCAGAGAGCATCGCATCGGTTTCCTGGTAATTGATTCATGCATTTCTGGAATCTAGTAACAAGCGCCGGCTACTGGTCTACGTTATTCATTACTGTTTAGTTTTGCAAATAGAGCGTCCCTGTTTCGGCGCTAGCCCTGTGGTTCGCGTTCAAGTTCCAATATTCTCCCGGATTGCTGTTGATTATCGATAGACCCAGTTAAGATGCCCAGAACATATTGTTACTCTGAGCAACGCGTTCACTCTTCGACTGGCTTTGATTAAGTTCAATATAATATAAAAAACTTCACAAGCAAGGAATAAGAAAATATATACCTTAAGGACGATTTTCCGAGATGATTTTTAACCGAGAGTGACTCGATGGAGTAATCTTCGGCTCTCGAAGCTGTTTCAACCTGTCCTCAACCTTGAATTTACAAAGGTAATGCTTTTGTAAAGACAGAAGGATTATTTCAATTGATGACTGCAGTGTACAATTGACTATTCTATCTCACTGATTAAAAGCCCTTTTACCCTGATTCTTAGTTTAAAAATGAGAATTCATTCTCTTTTAGTCAGCTTAGAATGTATAGCCTAAGGCCAAAGATAATGAATAAAAAATGAAAACAAATTTTTCAGAGTGCATACCTTTTGCAAGCAAAACGCCGAACCACTTGTCACTACAAGAAAGCAAAACCCCTCACACACGAAAAAAAATACATGAATATAAAGTAATAACAAAATAAAAGGAGAATGATTTGCATTTTGAATAATTTCTTGACACTCTACAAGACTCTTTGTCTAGAGAAAAAGCTAAAAAGCCTTCGGTCTTATTAATATCAATATTTTTCGCTCTAAACGTAGTAGGAAGTTAATAGTACACAGTTGATATGCATGAGCAACGTCGTTAATGATCGCCAATGACAAATATTTTGCGTATTGGTGAAGGCTGGTAGAGATAAATGGTGGTCAATTAGCTACTCTGTGGGCGAAAGGAGGGTTTATTTACATATCAGAAGAGGTATGGTGGCGGAACTAAATCATATAAGATGTTGCTTGTTATGAGACTTGGAAGTTGGTGAAAGGTGTCTTTGTGTATCCGTGCACTTTTTTTTCGTTGTGCAAGCAGCAAACTGACATAGATGCCTTTTGCGTGCCAATGTAGGCTGATGGAGACAAATGATCTTTCAATTACTATCTTTTGTGGGCGTGCCTCATTCGTTTGATGAGGAAACGAAGTATGTTGGTGGCGCCAAAAAGCTCACTGCAATAATATCAACATTGTGTGGGTAACAATCGTGGGAAAATGTTTTTATCGGCTTCTATTGGTGAAAAGAAAAGGATTCTATGATTCTGTTTTTTTTTCCCTTCTGAAACACTACATATAAGGAATTAAGAAGAATTGAGAAAAAATAGTTTAGGTTCACCTTTCGTTTTTTGTTATTGCTTAGGTTCACCTTTCGTTTTTTTTATTGCTAGTTTTGTGTCCTATAGAATTATAGTATTGAAAATCTACACTTTCTTTCTACCACTTTTTTTTCGAGATCATTCTTCGCCTCCATTTGTGTGAGAGACAAACAAAGGTTCTCTTGAATTTATCTTGAACAATTTTAGTGACCTTACAATTCTAGATAAATTATGTAATTGTCGCAAAGTTGATTTTCGTAGGCAAATGGAAGTGAGAGAGCTTTAAAGGCGCAAAGCTGAGCAGAACTAATGAAACGTTTACTTTATCCTCCTCACCTGACTTATTCCTTCAGCCTAACTCTCCCTGTCTTGTTACACAATTTCACAATTATTCGAATGTTCTGATAATCAGGTTACTACTTTCCTATAGTGCCTTCCCAAATGAGATGATTTTCAATCTCTCCTAGAACTTTTGAAGTCTCAAGTAGGGGAAAATCATAAAATTGAGTTGCGGCTGCGAGATTCTAAACTGCATAAAAAATTTAATATGTTTTATTTAATTTAATAGCAGTTAGATTGGTTGAGACGTCCTTTTCTGTGGTTTCATATCTTGAAATATTCAAAATATTTAAAAAAGTGCCATTTCGACTCGCTATTATAATTGCTATATGAACCTTTTAAGGCTAACCTTGAAAACTTTGAGGTTGCAAATTAAATTTCGTGCGAGAAATGGGATTTAAGATTTAAGATTTAAGATTTAGGTCAGATATATTTTTTGTCAATAACGAGAGTACTGAATTCGGTTTAAAACTTTTTCAGTAAAGAATTAAAATTTCTGAGTCATTAAAATTCATAAATATATGTTATGCTGTGGAAAACTTTAAATTCTCTCATTTGCCTCGATAGGACAGAAATTCGGTAACATAGGTTTGTGTGGGTTTTGTATCATAGACGGTGTATTATGCGTGGGTCATCTATCAAAAATATTGAAAATATCTCAAACCCAGTGGCCGAATGCTGCGGGAATGTGTTATGTATCTTTCTGTTAGTTTGCTTCCATACCAGATGTCACTGGTCACTAACTACATTTTCAAATTGATGGCCGTCAATTTAAGAGAGTCGTTTTCAGAAAATCGGGCGTAAAAAACCGAAAAAACCAAAACTTCTTTAGGGTATGACTATCTTTTTCAAAATTGAATTTAACTTTCGCTTTCTGCAGAATGCCTGAATTTAAATCAGTATTGCGCGCAAAAAAATAGTGTTCATCGTGTGAAAAAAATAATAACTTTAATCATAATCATGATAATAAGAAGACAAACTGTTGACCCTAATGGAGTTTCAGAGCTCTGTGATGGTCTACGCAATTTTTCATTTTTAACTTCACTTAAAAAATATTCTTAATTGCAAAACAAAGTGATCACAACATTCGGTGCTCTTGAAATGTGGTTTAGAATTCTCTTTGATATAAATACTTTATTGATATCTCTATAACTAACAGAATATCGAAGGATATAAGTATTTAAAATCTCTTCGAGAAGATCTCATTTGACGAAGAAACTCACATTCAGGCGCGGCTATGTGATTTCATATGGTTGTCTCAAAATCGAAACTTCTTCCTCTATAACATTCAGTGAAGTACACTAATGTAGTTTTGGATCCTTTTGTTGCACTCAGAAAAACATATATTATTTAGTTATCTATTAGTGCATTCCTCACTAATGGTTATTTGCTGTTCATGATAAGATGATTAAAATTGATAAGGTTGGGTAACCTGCAATTGTGCAAAAAATATTTTATGGTAATCTTAAAGGGACGAAGAGGTGGTAAACACTAAAAGATGAGATTTTTATGACAAAAAGGGCAATATTCTCAAGTATCGTGGAATCATACTGACTCTTCAAGACATTTTCGGTTAGATTATTTGATTTTATACACTGAGTTGATAATAAAAAGACTTCCTGAACCTGAAGTTTCTAGCGGTGGCCGTTCGTCAGAGGTAAGGTTTGAGTCACTGAGAAATTTGAGTTCATTGGCTGAGTGATTTAGAGTAGGTTTTCTCTGCTCAAACCTCAACACTGTTTCAAGGAAAGTCCACTGATAATTTTTTTAACCATATAAACTGAATAAATGACTTAATTCTTAATTATCTATAATCTTCCTGTTCATTTATCTATTTATTTATCGCTTAATTGCTAAATGGCAAGTCTATTGCTATCAATATTGTTATCACCTTTGGTGTAATTAAATCGAGACGGCGCTTTCATCGAACGAGCGGGCCGATATGACAAGGCAATATGTAAATTCACGTGAGATCGAGCATGCAATAGCTATTCAAAAAACAGATGCTTCCTCTGTTTCAAGTGGGAAATTAGAAGAGCTAACAAATTAGACATTTAATAAAGGTCATGAGATTTTTCTTCACGAAAAATTAAAAAAAAAAAAAAACATATCACCGCACGGAGATTTCAGAGAAATTTTTGATCAAGCGTCTTTGTAAACCAGAGCAATTGGTTTGCGATTTTTGTTCGTCGTAAGATAAAATATACGAAATTTTTCTTCCGAATGAAAATGAATTAAGTATAATTTAGTATAAGTAAGAAAAATACATAAACCATAAATATATGTTTCGTAAAAAACGGCAGATAATAATGACTTAACAAATGTCCTGAGATTTAGCCACCTTTTTTCATGTTTTCTTTATTTACCATTCGATTTAAAAGCGAATATTCTACAAAACAACTAGAAAATTAAATGTTCACCATTGAAAAAGAAAAGATGAAAATAAATTTCTTAATCTAAGGATGATTCATTTGAACTAGCTGCAATGATATACCTTTCATGGGCACTAAAAGCTACAAAATAGGAACTTTAGCCCACATGTTGAGAAGTTTTTTAAATCTAATAAAAATTTCTTTTAGTCTATCTTTTTGATGATGGGTCAATTTTCACTGAAAACGCTATCTTACATTCAAAGGCTTTCCATATTTAGCTGTAGTTAGATACTTCTCTTTAGCATGCATGAAACACGGTTACACTTGAGACAGAAGTAAACTTTCCTCATCGAAAAAAAAAATTATACTACAACTTCTCATACACTTTTACGAAGAGAAAGTTTAGAAGTCCAAAGGCGTCTGATTACCATTTGGAGTCAAATCTTAACTTATGTGTAATAAATATAGAAATCGATGGATACTGTAAAACGGATAACAGATTCAGAGTTAAAAAACAACAACAACAGAAAAAAAAACAAACACATGGAAAACAAAATCAGGATGAAAAGAGAAAACGTTATTTCTCTTTTTATCAATCGGGTTGAGTTCTTTTTTTTAATGTTTGATAAAGAGCTAAGTATTACGAGCTTATTGAAATATTGTGGCCGGTCCTTATCACAATTTTCTTCGCTATGTCTTTGAGAATCATCCTAAGTCCTTACATCAACCTTTCCAAAAATAATTGTCTTACCTCTGAAACGGCGAATCGTTTATATTTTTTGCCTTGAAGGTTACCACCGCTGGCTCACTATCAGCTGTCTTCCAACAGCTTTTAAACACTCGAAATATCTGTTTTAATCGCTTTCTACTGACTCTGAACTCTGCTGAGCTAGGCAAATGGTGGGCGAAATTAACACAAAGCTCATTCATTAAACTGTCTTGCAACGGATCCGTAATTACGTCTGCACGCGGGGAAATTGTATTACGTAAAATTAATTTGCCTTTTATCGCGTTTTTTTGCTTAGAATTAAGATTTGCAAGAGTTCCCACCGCCGTAAATTGCCTTTCATATGTAATAAAAGATGCTTAAAACGATAGCTATCTGAAACATGAGCTTTCCTTGAAGAACCGACAGGGAAAATATGTCAGACGTATGGCGGCATAGAGATAAATAACCAAACGATACGCGCTATGATTGGTTCTTGGAAGGTCGTAAACCACGATATCACTGCCGTATATTTGTTCGAGACTTCCTAGATAATTTAAAATAGCATAAAGTGGCAGGCAAAACCGGAAAGGTTGGTCTATTTTATCGGCTACACATGAGAGTTTTAAAATCAGACGGTTTAATATTTGTATTTAATACAGGCAATTAACATTGATGATATTCAGTCCAAACTTGCATCTCCGCCATTCAGGGTCCGACCTCCACCATGGATTGATCGACACATAACTCTTCCCTACGTTATTTACATTTGTAAAGAAAATTATTCGCCGCGTAAACTATTTACCACTGAGGTGGAAATTGAGATGGTAGAACTAAATATTTCGTCTATTCCGATTGTTAATCTTAAAAGTTATGAATAATCTGCAGGATAAAGTTTGAAAATTTACCCCTACAGGTTTAATAACTTTTTCCATGAGCGGCTGTCGATGGTGTGATTGGCGATTGTGTCCGGAAAGGGGCCGTAAGGCGAAACTTAAACAAGAGCGCCTGCTTGATAGCAAAAGGAACGGTGGTAAGAGTTTAAGAGTCGGCGATAAACAAATTTAGAGAGTCAAAAGATAATGGGGGACCACCGCTAAGTATAAGTAAAGTAAATATAAATATAATATACATTTTCCGAAGACAACAAAATTGCACGAGCCCGTAGGGCTAGTGCCATTTGCGGTCTTTGAAAAATTTACAAGTGCTTATTACACCAAATTGCAAGAGAAATCATGTTATTATTTCTCAATAATGTACATGAAAAAACATCACATGAAGTCAAAACAGACAAAATTTTGAAAGCGTGCGCACGCGCTATTTGTAATTTGCACGCGTGGTACAACTTTGCCCCAGTGTTACATGAGAGCGCACTCGTTTTCAGCCAATCAGGAACGCGTAATTTTTTTTCTTGCATATTATCATGCAACAAATTATATACTCGAAAGTTTCCTTACCATATAAACAACCACCGAGTCAAAATGACATTCACATCTAATTGAATATGTCAACACATTGTTGGTGGCTTTCGCGTCACGGTAAGAAAGTCAACTCCATAGTAACATGTCTTCTTGAAATTGATTGAAAGCATTTTGAATTTCAGATTCGAGCGAGTCAGTAAAGTCTCTTAATTTGTGATTGATCAAGCAGTTTCATTGTCTTAAGACTACATGTGTATTAATCCTCTCAAAATATCTGCCATCTCAGCTCAATCCGTTAGCAAATGGCGTAAGCGTCTTTGTGAGGCGAGTTAGCGATACAAGCTTGTAAGATCGTTTATCCAGCCGGCCATGCTTGATTTAGAGTTAGAGTGGACGGTGGGAGAAGGAACGTGACCCTACCCCTCCCCTCTCCTTGCCTTGATCGTCGTTCACCCCCCCTTAGAAATCATTTCTTTCTCTGCCCGGCATCCTACGACTGTAAAAAGTAAAAGATGACAGCGAAAAATTTCACCAAAAAAATACTGAGCACTCGCTCGCCAAAATCACGCCTGCTCTGCTGGCTACTCTACCCCATAAAGTGGCATCAATTGTGTTCCAAGCGAAACCCAAATTCTGATCCTGGTGTAGAAATTCCACTGAAAATAGGGTTACTACAGGTCACTGAAAGGATGGACAGCCTTTGATTTAGGTTCTGGCGAGGGAATCTTCGAGGAGCCGTACCACATCATTAACCAATTCATCTCGCGTATTCTTGGTGACCTTGAAAGAAATCATTTGTGCAAACGATTTGAACACACAACAGAGAAAGTTTTAATTTTTTGTTTCACCATGTTCTGATCAACAACTCTTCCCTCCAGCTTGTCGATTAGGATTGAGATTATGCAGCAATGCATTTATATCGAAAAAAAAGGCAAGTAGATGTTTTTTTAGTTTATTCCCATCACATTTTTGCAGTAATTAAGTAGTGTTAATTACTGTCGTAAGAGAGCTGCCAGCCTGTTACAAGTCAATGAAGTCTGGCAGTGACATGTTAAAATATCATTACAAACGTTTTGACAATGCAGAGCTGTTCTCAGGATGCTGGATTTTCCAGGACTTATACAATACAATATATCCAAGCTTAATCTGTCATGAGCATTTTATTATGGTAACAAATCTAAGTGCAAATGTCACACAAAATTTAGTTTTTTTTCAATCAGGCCCTTTGTGTTGTAAGGGTTGAAAATTTTCTCAACTTCTACCTGGTGAATAGCAATTTATCAATTTATTTATTTTAGCTCAATTTATCAGCATTATCTGCCCTTTAAAGAACTGGTTTCCAAATCTTATAGAGTAACACCTCTCTTCTGCTTTCTTAGCCTCAAGAGTGTCACCCTAATAAATCATTGTTTACTGTGTGTCATTCAAGAAATTTCTGGCTCTGTTGAAAGTTTAAAAAACATCTAACTATATTTATTCCAATAATACATTAGAGCACATATGGTACTTAAAATTAAAGAAACCTTTTGGTAAACCTCACCTCAATCAATGTCACATCTTGCCTGTTCTTCAACTCCTCCACAAATGGGATAGGTCGCTGTTTTGTTATGGGTACAGTGGCCAGTATTGTAGCTTGTGGAGATAAAAACAGTTCACGGACTGCACTGATAAAGCTCTGACTGAAAAGTTCCATTTTTCCTATTTCATCTACTATAACCACTGTCTTGCCATGTGGAGTAATCTGCAGATATGAAGTGAGGTATGCATGATCAATATTTCCAGTTTTTGAAATGTTTTTGATCTTTTAAGAACCAACACAGTTTATAACAACAGCCTAGGAAGACACCTTTCATAGTAATGATTACCTTAGTGGAATTTTCAGTGCATGTCTTGATGGTTGGAAGTGCAAGCTGCTCAAATGACTTGACATCCACTACATAATTGCCAACTGAAGGTGATGCTCGTGCCCTTGCAGACTGAACATCGCTACGAAAAGATTATTATTCATGCATGTAAATATTACAAAAGTACAATAAAATATGATCAAAGAGAAATATTTACAATCATAAAGAATTGACCAATCACCATCAACTGGCTTCTTGCCTGAAATGGGGGGTGGGGGTGGAGTATCTCACTAATGTTATTGTTCAAGTGTCATGATGCAGCCTTCAGATACCCTGACCCTGATCCTGACAGGGATAAAATCCCACCATTTTTCCTACCCTAGCTGTTAAATAAAAATAGATGTACTGTAAATTGAGGTATATTAACTTTTACAGAGCCACATCTAGCATATTCAGACATAGTGAAAGAAAAATATCAACTATATTATTTTGTTATCACCACACATTAGGGTAAGGACTTTTCAATGAAAGCCACAGAATGGTGAACTTTTATACCACTCTCATAACTCAAGACCCCACTCCCTCAAAACCATTTGTGGCCCCTCTCCCACCTCCCCGCTGAAATGTCCATGTTGTGGTATTTTGAGAAGGAGACTGAGTAAATTGTCAAATCTAAAACTAGTATTGTATTGTAGCTGAAATAGGTGAATCAGATGTTGAGCAAAATTCCCCTCCTCTCAGCATTTTCAGCCATTGACTGATATATCAAGGCTAAAGAATCATTTACCAATATCACAGTCCTTTTATAATGAGCTGGGAAAATCCACTTCCCTACATTTCAAATAAAAAAAGACTAGTCTGGCAATTTTCAGTACCAGTAAATCCTATAAATTACTCATTTACATTTTTATTGTACAAACATGCACCTGACATACCTCTTTGTTCTGGCTAAAGGTCCACGTTGCCCATTCAGAGTCACAACATCAAACCCCACCCTACTTCCTGTCTGACTGTTGCGGACCTCCTGTGTATAAAATCCTTGGGCCTGGATGGCTTTTCCTTGAAGTGCCTTGTAAACTTTTTTACACATAGTCGTCTTGCCAACCCCTAGCCACATGTATCAAAGTGGAACGCAATGAGGGCACAGGTTGAGGGTCAAGGCCAGACATGGATGGGGGTGAGGGAGGGCTGGTGATGCAGGGTGAACCTCGGTAAATCATGAGGTGATATCACTTTTAAATTAGATTAATAATGGTAATTGAACTGATTTGAGTGATTTAAAAATTGATTGAATGTGCAATGCAAGTTTAATTTGAGATCACATGTATGATTTCAGACCAAAATTGCATGATATGAATTTCAATTACCACATTATTAAATTTATTTTTTAAATCTCAAAATTCAGTTGCTCAATACAGGATTTTTTAGTGCGTAGATATAGTTTACTGATTCAGAACTGAGCTGGTTGGTAAAAAGTTGAAAAAGTTGTCTTTCATTTCTCTCTAATTAATATTATTGGTTTATTGAAATAAGCCTTGAAATCTGATTGGTTGTGGTGTTGTAGGTTCCTCAGTGACTATACTCTTTGCCTTAACAACATATGGAGTATTTTGATATATATATTGGGAAAATACTTATCAATGACAACTAGACAAATTGGTGTCCAATAACATTAAAATTGTGAAAAAATTGATATAATGTTTAACCACTTAACTCCTATGAGTGACCAAGACAGAATTTCTCTTTACAATATCAATACAATATCAAGCAGACAAATTATGAGAATAAAGAAAAATATCAATTAGGGGATTATAAGTTGATCCAATACCCAATTCTCCAAGCTAACATCACAAGAACTGTACGGCAGAAAGTAAGGAGAATTACTGATGAGATCTTGGGAGTTAAAGGGTTAATTGTTTTGTTATGGGAACCCGACAGTCTGCTTAACATTGACACATGCAGATTCTAGTCATTCTAGGTGTTCACCTAAAAATTTCCTTCGATAATTATCATTGGGCAGTTACTTACACCCCAACATCAATTTATATTTTCTCCTCACTGTTGTCTACTAATTTCCTAAGATGCAGACAAGGAGAATTTGTTTAGCACTCGAGAGCTTCTTTAGTCGGTGATCATTTTCTTTATTCTCGTAACCTTGCTGTTTAATTCAGGAGTGATGTTGTAAGAGTATATCAGATGCCTGTCCCTAGCCCCCTAGGGGTCAAAGAATTAATAAATTAAGGGGAACCCCTCTCGAAGGACGTTTGGAGACTATGGCGAGGGACGGTGTTAAATTCAAGGATAAATTTCCGCCGAAGTAAGAAAAATTTCTGTTCAAAGATGGTTTTTGGTGAATTTTATGGCCAAAGCAAAAAGTACATCATAGCTGTAATTTAAATCGTTACCTGGAGAGCCTGTCAGAAGAACATGGCTTTTCCCTCTGGACGCCATCTTGGAAAGGTGACCGTGCCAAAACTTTCGCCAGGCTACTAAGCTTGATTGAAAAATAGTCGGAAGGGAGGGTTGCAATGTACATGACAGACTTGTTTGATATTATGATTGTGAATATTCGTTGAAATTTAGCGGAGTTGGCTAAGGAAGCGCCCGATGACTGATAGACTTATCGAAAATGGGTAATTCGCTGTCTCCACATTTAGAGAGTGCACAAAAAACTGGAGTCTGTTCTCTTTGTGGCAAGGGACTGTCAGAGGTAAAACTCGATCGGTTTAAGTTCTTGGGAAGATAATCCAATAAGTCTCATGCTTTTTTTGATCGTTTTACGCTTAGTATGGTTCATAGATTGTTTTTATTTGAAAATATATAAACCATTTTTTGAGATCGACCGGTATCGTTGCGGTAAATGTCTTGGATCGATGACAATATTGACAGAAGGTGAAGCTCACGTCTGAGATGGATGAAGCGTTCGTTGCGGTACCAGATGCCATTTTGCTTTCCATTTGCAATTTTCAAAATTTCCTTTATTACAACGTTTTATCTATGCTGAAACAAAATTCACATTACAGTTCATGTGATTGCGGAGGCTTCCGCTAGGGGATGTTTAAGTTTAATAAAGGTTTCTATAATCCTTTTAACTCCAAGAGGTGATTAACATGTTACTTCTCCTTACAATATCCATACATTATCTGGCAAAAAGGTAATGAGAATATGCAAACTTATTTGGTAGTTGTTTTCTTGATCGAACACCAAATTCTTGTCATGAACATACAAAGAAATGTGTGACAGATAAAAGGAAGAATAAAATAACAGACCTTGAGATTAAAGGGTTAACTGTGCTAAGGTTTTTTATAACAGCTGTCGTGTTTTAATTATTCATTCCGCTGTAAACTTTGTTTCATGTCATCTGCATGCAGTACTGGCAAAAGTTCAGATCTTGCTAGCACTGCATTCAGTGTGTATGTTGCAAGTTGCATGTATTATATTGCATGCCTACAGATCATGGACAACAGCTACATGTAAATGCTTTTTGTGACTTTGTTTCAAACAGATTCCTCCTCAGTTGCTAAGGTTAGGGAGTTCCTTACGAACATTGGACCTCTCTGAGAACAAATTAAAGGTTTTGCCCGCAGCGTTTGGCAGTTTTACTTCCTTGAAGAGTCTTACATTGTCATCAAACAGTATTGGTAAACTATAGCTTTATGTCTTGTTTATATGTAGCCTGGAAGTAGGCCTCACTATGTAGTAGTTATTATTAGTACTGCAGCACAAGCATATCTTCCCTTGTCACGGAGGTCAACTCTTTATACCCTAACATCAGTATACATATTCTCCATACTGTTCCCTATACATTTCCTTAGGTGCTGACAAGGAGAATTTGTGTACTAACAATCAACAGCTTCTTTAGCTGCTGATATCTTTCTTTATTCTCATGACCTTACTTCATGATTCATGGGTGATATTGTAAGAAGAGGCTTTGAGATGTTGAACCAAGCAAGCTGGTGATAGGTCTGCAAGGAATCTGGCCCTCATTATCAATGCATAACCACTTGCAGACCTCTCTCTGGCAGGTGTTGTTCAATGCCTCAAACTTATTTTGTAACACCCTGGTACTAAAATGCTAGTAATGAGGGCCAGTGGACATAAGCTAATTTATATACTGTAGAAGCCAAAGAGAAAATACCTGGCTTATCCAATTTTACTTTTATATCCCATTAAGTAGAACTGAAAGCAGCTTTTTAATGCCAGCAGTCAGACAGGAGTGTAACGAAGTATGGGAGAGATTTACAGCGCTTTGGCGTTGATGTGAAATTTTTACTCTCAGAGGCCAGCAAGTCCAAAGTTGACCAAACTTTTCTGAAGTTCTCGCAAAAATTTTCAAAGATGTTTCATTTCTGTTTGGAAGATGTCCTGTAGAGTCAACAAAAATGGGCCTGAAATGCTCATCCTTTCACTATGGAAGGTTTTGGCCAAATGTGGAGTTTCTCTAGAGATGGCCAAAATTTTCCTAACATGTTATTGATATTCCCTAAGACTTTCTGAAAATACTTCAGAGGTGTCCTGAAGACACATTTGGAAATCCATTCTAACAAGAATTCTTTTCTTCTCTCTCTTAGGGGTTTTACCAGTGGAACTCTCTCAGCTGAAGAAGCTAGAAGTATTAATTATCAACAATAACCATCTTAAGGTCCTCCCTCTAGGACTTTTCACAAGCCTGAGCCACCTTAAAACCCTTTCACTAGCTTCCAATCAGCTTACAGCATTCCCAGAGGGTCTTGGTACCTCAAAGCATTTGGATGTAGTTGATTTGTCCAATAACAAAATCCGCAGTCTTCCAGAGTCTGTGGGAGATTTACAAATGGTAGAACTTAACATGAATAAAAACCAAGTTGCATTACTTCCTGCCAGTCTTGCAAGATGTCCTCGACTCAAAGTTCTTAGATTGGAAGAAAATTGTTTGGCTTTAGATGCTGTTAATCCAGAACTTCTGAAGGAATCACAGATTTCCCTGCTTGCAGTGGATGGTAATTTGTTTGAAACAAAACAGTTGCGAGAGGCTGAAGGCTATGACCAGGTATGTCATATAAAAGTGAAGTTGCAAGAATCGCATATGCTTGAGGAGTGCAGTAACCCTTTAACTCCCATAAGTAATTCACATGTAAGTTCTTCCCGCAACATCCATACATTATCCTGCAAACAGTAAACGAGAGTAGTCAAACTCATCAGGTAAAAGTTGTTATCTCAATCCAACACCAAATTCTTCATGTTTACAAGATAAAGAGGCTTGGTCTCCAAGCCTCCTAAGTATATGATCAAAAAGTGTTGCTTCTGTCCTGGTTTGAGATTAGTTACAGTTTGTAACTGTACTTGGAGCATTTTCACACAGTTATCCATAATTATGGTTATCATTAATTTTATGTGAGGTAGATATCAATGGAAAGACCCAAGGAAAAAACTAATACCCCTCCATTGCTTGGTGATTTTGAAATTGCCCAAAATTGCTTAATTTCTACTGGTGGCTTTTTTCTGGTACAAAATCATGTAGAGACTATCTTTTTGGGGTTTGCACCTCATTATTTAGAGATATCCAAGAACATGTTTATCTTCCTTGAGGAGATCTGTATAATTCTTTATGTGCGTTAGGAACACACAATAACAAGTTTTAATTTCTCTTAAGAATGAAACCACCACAGCATTCACTGAAAAATCAAGATCTTTTTGCCTATGAGCCTGGCATGTTCTAGGCACTCAGTTTGTGAGGATGACTAAAAGTGGAGTAAGCATGGGAAGAAATACGGAAGGGCAATTAGGAGGGCAGTGACCCCCTCCCCCTTTAATTTTTTTCTCACATGCTTTTTCTGAGAGTGTATAACAGGCTACCTTGAGCCACTAAAATAATTGTGATTCAAGTCTGTCAAAATCTTTGCTCGATAGTGATGATGATAACCATGATGTTGAGCCATTTCTTTTTTTTTTCCTTTAGTACATGGCCCGATTTACTGCAACTAAAAAGAAGTTCACCTGATGCCAAGCTGAATACTTGTTGTCTTGGTGCTCACAAAGACCTGTGTGTAGTAAATTGGATCACTGTGACAGTTGCTTGTGCTTATGGGCATGGTGTAGACTAGAGTGAGGAAGGGGGATCTGTAACTCCCCTCTTTATAATTAAAGGATGTGTAATTGCTTTCGATAACCTTACCGTCATTATGGCACTAATGTACAGAACCTCTTCCTAGAGATGCCAAGCTGCTTGCAGCAATGAGCTATGAAAATGTTGAAAGCCGTCCTTCAAAGGGAATCCTGATTAAGGGCTCATGCTCAAATTCCCAGCTTTAGCATGTTTTTATGGTAACCAATTCTTATTATCAACTTGTTTGATAAAACCAAAGTGACTTTTAACTGTAAAGTGGTCATAAAAACAGGATTTTTATTTTGCCAAGTGTACTAAAATTGAAGTAAAATTGTAGGGTTGATGGAAAGAGATTAACACTTGTATCATGTAACACTTTATTAACAAGGAATTAAAACTCACTCTTGGTTGCTTGGATTGTTGCTTAGATATTGCAGTTTGTGGGATACTGAAGAATTTGAACCAGGGACATCTATATTGTAAATGATGTGTTACCCAAAGCATTTAAGGTGCTCCATGATGTTGCAGAAATTCTTCAGATAAGAATACTGCATAAAAACATAGCTCAAAGTTTGTTCTGCAGTTGTTAGTTTTCATAACGGTAATCCATCTTCAAAACTTTTACATCTCCTAACCTCTAAACTCCCAGGAGTGATCATTATGTAAGTTCTCCCTATAACACCTGCCAAACAGGTAATGACAAAAATCAAACTTATCAGGTGGAACTTTTTGTCCTGGCCTACCGGTAACACCAAATTCATACAACTAATTTATAAGGAAATGTGTAGCAACAAAAGGAGAGAGACTTGGCAGTTAACCCTATAACTCCCAGATCAAATTTGTAATTCTCCTTACTGTCAACCATGCAATTCTTATAATGTTAGTTCAGAGAATGTAGTATTGGATCAACTAGTGGTGGCCATCCAAGGGAAGAAAAGGGTGGTCTTGGGGTTCAAGACAGAAAATCAGCCAGGGTAATGAGGTTAGCCAACATTGTTTTAATATCAGCTGTTGAGGTTAACTAACATTGTTTTAATATCACACTGCCTTGATGAGTTACCTCCACAGTGATCTGGATCACATTAAACATGAAATATTACACCTTATAAATAAACAGCTACATGTATGTGGTGTTTTCAAACCGTTCTACAACTACAAAAATATATACCTGTAGCATATTTCATAACTTAAAACATTCAAACTTTTAAAGACAAGCACAATAAATACAGATTATGTTTTATAATTCTCTGCTTGAAAGTTGTGAGAGAATATTACACCAATTTTAAATATATCATGATGTATTATTATAACTTAATAATTGTGGTTAAACTTGATAATAAATGCTAATTTCTCTTTGCATAACGAGCAAAGACATCTCTTGGGAGTACAAATTCAATTTCAAGAATTTGATACCAAGACACTTTTTGTAATAACTTATTTTTGACTTTCGTATCTTCCCTCAACCACTTGGTCAGGGCTATCAACTTTGTGAACTAAATCATAAAAAGCTGGCTTATGGAGAGAGTGCAATAAATCAGCAAAAAAAATTAGCAAAAGCAGTAGATATTAATTGCGCCATATAATCATTAAAATTACGGTGACAATTTAGATTTAAAAATTATAGCGTTTTACCAAACTTTACAGTCAAAAACCATTTAAGATAACACATACTAGGAGTTTAAAACTTGAGATATTCTGTAGTCAAATGTAATTCGTTCTAAAATTCTAGAAATTCATTACGATGTTTTGTTATCCCAGAAAAATAAAATTTCAAGGAGACTGACACCAACTAAGTTCGTTTGCGTTACATATAAGAGTAAATCAAAGCAATCCCAGCAGTACTCGCAAGCAGAACGTTTCATTTACGTTCAACAAGTTCCTATAAATTGCCAACTTAAATAACGTGATTTTGACCAATTTCGAATTAATACATTGAAGATGCGCAGCAAATAACTCGCCATTTTTATGATATAAGGGCAATGCAAACTTTTCTCCAAACTCAACAACAAACGCTGAAAGCACCAAAACGCAAACAATTCTTTGGGAAAGATTGACTTCTTGTTCCTGTTTTGACACTTTATTTCTTTCTTTTCCCTTGGCTTGCATTTTCATGTTCTTCTCAAATTCGTGAGCGTGGTCCTGTCAAGAACACGTGGCTTGTTTGTAATTTCATAGACAGTCTGTCTCGACTTGGTCACCCGAGGCCTCCCCGTTTACATTCTCAGCACTTCCCCAGAATACCGACCCAGGCTTTCGCGACGTATTGTGCGCTAACAAGGCTTCGTACACCGGATTTGAAAAGTCCACTTTGCCCTTACGAAATTCCACTTTGGGCAGATTATTCTCGCGGAACACCTCAGAACCCAAACTCGTCTCGGAGCGGTAAACAGATTCATAAACAGGATTGGAAAAGGTTGTACCCTGACAATAAAATAAAAAAAAAACGATACAAATTGTCAAAATAACAATACTAAAAGCCGGAAACACAAAGAACATCGCTGAGAAAACGTACATAAGGCAATTTCATTTCGCTGGTATAACCTTAGCGTCACGTCACCCTTTGCCCACGTTGCGTTACAAACGCAACGCAAGATTCATCAACTTAGAAAGACGATACAAACCTAAACTTGCATGACAACATTCTTGCAGCTGCAAAGCAGCTACGAATATAGTCTCTCTTTCCGGTTACTTAAAGGGAAATATAGAAACATGCTTTTTCTATTCTAAGATTTTCCTGCAAAAGAAACCTCGAACATTTGCAATAAAAACATAATGCCAAAAAATGGTTTAACAAGGGTCGAACTCGGCTCACAATCGACTCAAGATAAACCAACACTCGAAATAGTTTCTTCTACTATGATATCAAATTCAAACTATATCTGTATTAGCCTGTGGAGCAGGTATAATTTTGCCGAGCGAGTGCTCAATATTTTCTTGATGAAAATCATTGCTACCATCTTTGATTTTTACCCCAGCGAAATTCTGGGTAGAGAAAGAAATTTATTTTAAAGGGGTGATCGACGGTCAAAGGAAGGAGAAGGAAGGGGACGGGGCAATTTGTACTCGTCTATCTCCACTCTCTCGCCCACTGTCCATTCTAAATCCTCCTAATAAGTTTAATGAGACCCCTGCACTGCAGGCTACATCTGTTTATCAACTTACTTTTTCTGATCCGTCGTCAACATCAGGATTTGGGTTACTCTCCTCATAATCAAGCATCTCTTCGTACAGGAATGATGGATTCCCGACTTGAACTGCCATGCCGCTGTATTCAGTCTTCTTTGCGCTTCAAAAGTAACAGAAGATCCTTAAAAGTTGTACGGACAGCAGCCAGCCTCCAACCAGGGATTCTCAATAAGAGGGTTGATTCAGTTAAATATATGTCCTTTCACTATTGGCTTTCGGCTGTCTCGACATTGTTTACAAAAATAAATTTTCAGATAAAAAGGTTCGGCTAAATTGAAGATAGCTTCTGTTAAAACAACGGCTAAACTTTGTTTAAATAACCGGCCCTTAGTGTTTTATCATTCAATTGAAATTAAAGCTGCGCAGTTCTTTCATGCCCTGCCGTTTATTATGCTGTGCATTATGTGAGGTCAGTAAAGTGATCAGCATCTAAACTCTCCTTACAATGTCACCCCTTAATCACACATTAAGGTCAGGGGAATAAAGGAAATGATGACCAATTAAAGAAACTCGTGATTGTTAAATAAATTTTCCTTATGAGCACCCATGGAAACGTGTAGAAAAACAGTATGATATGCATACTAATGTTCCGGTGTGAAAGGTTGAGTTTGGAACAAAACAATAGTGTGCGACTTTTCAATTTAAGGCCACTGAGCTGAGGTCGACGTGCTTTATTTTACAACTCTAAATTCAAACTTACGCGCGACGGCGAAGGCGGAGGAAAACAATAAGCAAAGCAATGAGCACCAAACAGGCCATCACTACCGGGACAATTATCTGTGCTGGTGCTGTAAACAAAGAATGAAAGAAGGAAAAAGTCAACACGTAGCCGCAAAAAACGTTTACCAACACAAAGAGCGGGTAATCTTTTAAGGAAAATGTTATATCGTTTATGCTGTCTGGGTTTTGTATAATTTTCATGACCAGTCAAAATACGTAATTAAAACCTCGTGCACTGTGAATATTTTTGCTTTTTGCGATATGTGAACCTTAAATTTGTTAATCCGATTTTTATGCGTGTAACGTGCACAGGACCCCCACCCCCACCCCTTCTCTTTACCTTCCTCGTTTAAGAAAAAAAGGAAGGGAAGGTTTAGCTAAAGGCCTTTCTAGCCGGAGCTTATCCCGGTTTCTTTCCCCCACCCACCAGACCTCTCAACCCGAAGTCTATCGCACAGACCTTTAACCGTTTATAAACTAATAAAACCAAGGTTTCTATGAGTTTTAGAAAGATAACAAACCATAACAAAGTTCATTTTTCGTGACATAATTTAGATACCAAGAAAAAAAGTCTCCTCCTTTGAAAAAACAAACTAACAACTCACCGCCGTGGTCAACTCTCCCCAGTACTTGCGGTTTCCCGCAAGACTTCGCCAAGCTTCCATTGGCACATCTAAAACGGCAAAATCAAAGAAATTCTAAAAATGATATAATAGATTGTATATTGTAGGACCAAATCACTGCGAGAACACCATAACTTTCGCTTCATTAAAATTACTAGTTTCATTTCAAGCAGATCAGTTCAAAACAAACTTTGCTTCATATCTAAACAATTGACATCAGTGCATCTTACCGGCACAATGCTTCGTTGGTATCATTCTTGACAACACACTCTAGATCACCGCATAATTCTCTGCGACGATTATCTTCAAAACATGGGTCTAAAGCACAAATTTTGTTTCCGACGTAACGATATCCTTTTCGACATCTGCAGAACACAGAACAAACCAGGCGTTAAATTTAGGTAATTTACTTAACTCTTGTAACTTAATAAGAAGTTTGGAAAAAACAGACCCCATTTGGAAAGCCACTTGGTACTGTTTCGATGAGGCACTATCTATCATGTCATACAATCTGGTACTAATTATCAAGTTCAGGAAAAATATTAAACTGTTTGCAACCACTGAAATAAAAGCTTTTGAAAGTATTTCCATAAGGTGCTATCTATCTGTCTCAGAACGATGGTTCTAACTGTTAAGCCTGAGGATGAACCTCCAACGAGCTATTGTTTGAATTCGTACCCGTATGCGGCAATGTAATATCCTCGAGGTATTAATTAGAAAAGGGGCAGTACCATGTTTGGACAAGGAGCTGTTCTTACCTGCAAGCAAAATGCCCATCTTCTACAATGCATGTTCCTCCGTGACTACAGCTAAACAGAGCACACGTGACCTCACATAATACACCCATTGTTCGTGGTAGGCAACTGGAAAGAGAGAAAAAAAACTCAACAATCATACGGTTTAACGTGACAAATCCACCTTGTAACGCTGCTGCTCCCTCACTAGCTGTAAAGTTTGTAACAAAACCCGGAATACTTGGAAAACAATAATTAGCACTGCTTTTGCACAAACGTTATCCCAGGATACTACGAAAGAGTATACAACAGTAAACAGAAGAATACAGCTATAAACAGAAGTTTATACATCAATAGCAGCCTATATCTCCTCTATCTACGCCTCAGAGTTAACACTCTGCCAGAAAAATCTGTTGAAAGAAAAGCACCCGGGGGAAGTTTAGAGTTCTAGGACCTAATCAAAAAGAGCTATGAAAATCCCGTTGTTTTCCTTCAAACGTCTGCTCACATGCATTGGGCAGCGAAATCGATATCTACGATTCGCGGTTGATTCAACAGAAATATAACACTTTTCGCGGGAAAACGCCGTTGTAAAAATTAAACCTACTAGGTGAAGGGTTGATTCAAGGAATCAGAGGACATAGAGGCTCGCGCTGAAGAGCTCCTGGCTATAATGTAACAAGCAAAAGTAACGCAATACTAATGCACGTATGTATGTATCAGTTGAACAGCACGTCAAGGACAACGTCTTTTCTCTAGATAAGGAAATAGAAATGAAAATATTTTAAAAACACACAACGTACTTGCATTTCGGTTTTCCTTCTTCAATGACACAAATCCCTCCATTCAGACACTTCAATGTACATAACTGTGGGGTGGGTGTGAAGCTTATCTCACAGCGTGTTCCAGTCCAACCTTTTGGACAACTGGAGAAGAGAAGATAAACAAACAAACAGACAGAATATAAACAATAAAAATACAAGAAAGTAAATATTGAGTAGAGAAAAAAAATTCCGACCAAATTTTTCACAAAAGTCGCTAATCTGTCGATCTGTCTCCCACGGTCTTTTTAGCAAGCTGTGACGTTATTAATTCTAAGTGTTTGTAACCTCGAGTTAAGACAGATAAACGTTTCCATAAAATGCTGTGTAACATAACACAAAATGTCCTTCCTAATTTTTCCCCGAGAGAAATTAATGAGAGGGCCGTTTTGGCGAGAAAAATTGTGGTAGCCGCGTTGAAAGTCGTCATTACGATGGGTTTTTTCCTAGCGACTAAAATGCTATATCTGGCTACCTCTAGTGTGATTTAGGTCGCCAAATTGAGTTTTGAGGAGCATAGAGAAAGAGAAAGTTGAGCAGCTGTAGATAAAACTCACCGACAAGAGGCATTATTCCTCACATTAACACAAGTTCCTTTTCCACACAGTCCAAGCCAACACACTGGGGGAGGACGGGGCGGTTTAATTCCTGCAAAAAGAAGTAAAAAAAGCCTACTTAAGTGGAAAGGAGAAAGAAAAAGCAAAGGAACAGAGATAAGGAGTAAAAGCAGAAAGGATGATGCATATGAGACCTTAAGGAGTTCAAACGGCTACGCCGAGGGAAACATGGATTAAACGATGAAATTCCATATTCATGAAGAATTTCTAGAATGACTGGATGTGTTTACCGATTCTTGCGGCGTCAGATCTCAATTTCAGCATAAAGAGATAACGAGGTACTACTTAAGGTAGTTTGTTAAAACTGATCGCTAATAAGGGTACTCAACTGGCAATCACGTTGTCGGACAAATCGAACAAAGGTGAGAAAAATGTATATAAGAAAACAACAACAGACGCATACCTGTCTGACAGTCACCAGATTTTCCTGGGTCTCCTGTGGGGCACACACACACAGGCTTCTGACGACTGGACAGGCAAAGGTGAGAGCACTTGTTCTTTCCGACAGCACAGTTGTTGATAAAGTCTAAGGATAAAAAAAAAATATTTAGTAATTTGGGCTATGGTAACTAATTTGGCTTTGATTTTACAACACTAAACCCAAAGCACTCTAATACTTCAAAAAACTAAATTTAAACTTCGCATTGCATTAACTTTACGGGAAAAGTTCCGAAGCAATTCCGACTCAAAAAGAGAACATTCTTAAAACCGCACGACCCTATACGATTCAACCGAAAGCTTTTGTTTTCAGTTTGTTCACCTCTCTTATCAGCCAATGCGATGTCAATTGCACAACAACGTGTACTTAACGACAACAAAGAGTATACATCAAATAGTCAACTGAGAACCTAAGCAGCGAAATTTTGCCAACCTCTTGGTACATGTTGTTGCTGTTGCTGCAACACAACCAACCCAACTGGACGCTTGAGTCCATGCACCAAAACCGTCAGCGGACCTTGGCCAAACTTGTTCAACTTGTACAGTTTACCAGCTTGCACTGTGACGTAAACAAAATTCTCGTGCAACGCAATCGTCACGGGTATATCATTGCTTGGAAACTCTCTTACAAGTTTCCTGTCAAGTCCGTCTACGCTAACAGATTCAACACGTCTTGTTTTAGAGTCACACAAGTAGAGTCGTTTCGCTGGAACGTCAAGGGCCAATCCGACTGGCCACTGGATTTTGTCCCGTACAAGAATTGTGCGATTCCCTCCTTCCATGAGCGCTGTGTAAATGGCCGGCTGGTAACCCAATTCGGACCAATACATTCGCCTGCAGTTCAAAAATAACGCTTGAATTATTTGCGACATACAGATAGCGCGATTTGGACCCGCCCCTAAAACACAAGGTAAAGAGCTCTAGTTTCAGAGACTGGTCCCGAAAGTAGTTGAGTTTAGATTGAGTGTAGTCATGCATGTCGCTTTTGAGGGAGTGTTTTTCCTTACAAAAGGTGTGCGAGAATGAAAACGGTTGTGTTTATAGTAAGAAAACCTGTAATTGTGACTGCGGGATATTATACTTCTTTTGCCACGGAGGAATTCCCGAAACTAGTGAGGAATTCCCGAAAATGTTACCGGTAACTTTGACCAGTTTCTCTAATTAGCTTTGATTACTATATTATTTCAGACATAGCACTATTTGTCTCCGGGTTATGGCTAACCTTCCCCTTCACAAGTCCGCCCTCTTCCACCTTGCGAGTTCACCCACTAGCGAGCTAATAATTTTGACTGGTAACTTCAAATTATTTCGAACTGCTTCAGAAAATGGATCATTAAAATTTGCACGTGTCTCCGGTTTATGGTGAATTCGCTCTATTACAAGTTCGCCTCCACCGTTATCAGCTCGCCCCAAAATATTTTGTCTCGTTTCCCTTGTATAGAAAGTCATGATAGATAGTTCGATTAACATGCAAATTACCAGCCGTGTTAAGAAAGTAGCATTAATACTAACCCGGCAAGCGGATCAAGAACAAGGGCGTGTGGCATGTTCATACGTCCTGAGAACAAAGTGTATCTATAGTAACCATCCTTTGATGCCACTTCAATGACGCGTTTTTTTGCGTCAGTCCAATAGATATTCCCACTTAACCAGTCCACGGCTAAACCTTCCGCTCTTCCCACTGGAACGTAAAGATCCTGTATTTCCTGCTTTGTTTTTCGAGGGACAGCGCGGGCCGTACGACGATTTAATTCTTCCCCGCCTTGAAAAAAAACCGAAAGAATAAATTTAAAAAAGGCCCCCAAAATAATGAGTAGTATTGCTTGAGCGAAAAGAACAGCTCCCGTTGTTCGAATTTTACATCTCTTCATTTTGCTCAAATTTCAAGCATTTTAGAATGTAGGGCAAGTGGAATTAGGGTTTGCATGTGGAAAAACGGACGTTTTCATCGAGAGACAACCTAATTTTCTACGCTTCATAGAATATTCTTTACTTAAGGATGCGCTAGTACAATTTGGAAGCACGAGCTCCGCTATAAAACCCTCTTCCGAGAACAATAAGCTTCGTCAGGACCAACTGCAAACCGAAGCGGAAAGGGAGTTAAAGGTCATTTATTACAGGTAGCCTTGGAAAGATGTATCACCTGGTACTTTAGCCCGTTTGATGGTGCCTTTTCTCAAGTCGGTCCAATATACCAGCTGTTCCTTCCACCACACAGCTATAGCCCCTACGGAACCCTGGCTGAAAGCTATTGTTCCGTAAGGACCCCTGTTATTGTCGTCCAGCCCCATGTGCCGGATATCTCCACCAGATGGGAAAAGAAGAGATGGAGGTTTCCCTGCAATTTTAGGAAAAGATTGTACCGCATAATCTAACATTACAAGAAAGAGACCAGGGAGGCGCATTATGCGATCCTATTTGATAAGAGAAGTGATCATATTACGCAACAATTCCACCCGGTAATCTTCTGTACCGCGACAAGACGCTGGTTTAGGACACTCAGCCTCCCTATTGAAAATATTCTCATCCACACCCCTTGGGAACGCTAAATAATCATTTCCGAAACATTTACGATCGCACTGCACAAACACTTTCCCCGAAATTCAGTTTAAGTTTTCTTCGAGTTTCGAAAAATTTAAAACTCGTATCCATAGCGTGTACAACCTCATATTTATTTCCAAATTTCTTGCAGTTATCGACTGAATGTTAGGTTGCAAACTTCCGTTATTTACTCAGATGTTAGCTAAATGAATGAACCAACTCACCTGTAGCCTTGCATTCTTTTCCGTCCACACCATCACTGACGTAGCCCTGATTACACTGACACTTGTAGCTTCCTCGCGTGTTCATACACTGCTGGCTGCACGCACCGAATGCCTGACACTCGTCAATGTCCACACACTTCCGTGAGTCCACGGACAGTTCAAAACCATGCCAGCAGAAACACACCACCCCTCCGTCAAGCAAGGTACAATTCTGCTCGCAGCCACCGTTGGTGTCCCCACAAGATTTGTGTCTTCCACCTGGAGATGAAGGAAGCCAATGTGAGCTGAGTGTCATGAAGGCAATAGGTGTCTCAGAAAGTTAGTTTGCTACGAGGGAACAAGACTATGTGGAAAATGCTCGGTGCTGAGCATTGTTCGTATAGTTATCTCAAAAAAGGCTAACATAGGCCAGTAAGTCACCGCGTTTAAAAAAAAATTACGGGACACCCGTGATTAAATAGGCTTAGTAATCAAAAAATCTCGAGTTTCCCGTTTCCCTACTTTTTGTTTCCTTTACTTGACTTTTATGAAGGTGCATGACAACGGTTATTTCTTTTGCTTTTCTTTGAAATTATGCACATAAAATTGATCCTCTTGCGCACGCCCGATGTTTGGCCGCTGTGACAAGCTTACCACAATATTTCTCATCCGACGCATCACCGCAGTCATCTTTACTATCACAAACAAACCCATTAGGAATACACTTCCGGTTAGCGCATTTGAACTGGGTGGCGTTACAACCAATCGCGACTGCAGAGCACGACCGTTCATCAGACCCGTCACGACAATGAGTCACACCGTCACAGACTTGCCATTTGGGAATGCAGACGTTGTTTTCGCAGCGAAACTGCGTGTGCAGGCAGCTGTGAGCACCTGTAAGGGAACGTAGAGAAATGAATCTAAACATATCGTAAAAACAATAATGGCAGTAATAACAGCAATGGCAATGACAATGACAATGGCTATAATTATAGTGATGGCAGTGGTAATGGAGGGCTCGAAATCAACGCCCGCAACCTCACGAAATGCGAGTGATCTAGATAAATTGCGAGTGAGAAAAATATCCACTAGTAAACGTTTGTTAAATAAAATCGTCCAAGTCTCCCAAACATGCAATAAATGTTGGTGGCTTTCAGGACAACGACAAAGGAGACAAAACATTCAACACCTTTTTTTATAAAACTTTCCAGCTCATTAATAGCCTATGCGAAAATTAATTCAAATCTTTATATCAGATATGATCTTCGACATTTCAAAGGGAAAGAATTTGCCAGTGATGGAAAAATGTTACCAGCAAAACTTTGCAAGTGGACTGAAAAGTTAACTTCGAGCCTAGAATGGCAGTGGCAATGGTATAAGGTGATGATGATGGAAATGGCAATGATTATAGTCATGGCAATGGTTATAGCAATGAAAATGAATAGTGATGGCGACTGCATTAGCAATGGTAATAACACCGGTAATGGCTACAACAGTGCTAAGGGTAAAATCGATGATAATGGTATTGGTAATAGTAATGTAAGAGAACGTGGATAAATGAATCTACACATATAATAACAATAATGACAGTAATAACAACAATGACAATGACAATGGCAATAATTTTAGTGATGGCAATGGTGATAGCAATGGCAATGGTGTGGCAGTGGTAATGACAATGGTAAGGGTGATGGTGATGGTGATGGAAATAGCAATTATTATAGTCTTGGCAATGGTAATATCAATGGTAATTGCAATGGAAATGGCAATGACAATGGTATGGGTGATGGAAGTGGCAATGGCAATGATCATAGCCATGGCAATAGTTACAGCAATGGCAATAGTAATGGTGATGGCGCTGGCGATGGCGAAGGCGAAGGCGAAGGCGAAGGCGAAGGCGAAGGCGAAGGCGAAGGCGAAGGCGAAGGCGAAGGCGAAGGCGAAGGCGAAGGCGAAGGCGAAGGCGAAGGCGAAGGCGAAGGCGAAGGCGAAGGCGAAGGCGAAGGCGAAGGCGAAGGCGAAGGCGAAGGCGAAGGCGAAGGCGATGGCAATGGAAATGGTGTTGGCAATGATTACAGTCATGGCAATGGTTATAGCAATGGAAATGACCGGTAATGGCGACTGCATTAGCAATGGCAATGGTAACAGGGAGTTTAAGAAACGACGATGGCAACGCTGTGGACAACATCGGTTACCCACGAATCTCGCGATACTCTTAACAAGTTATAGAGTTTGTTTTTCACTTTCAAAACTGAATATGGGTTATGGTGATGGCACTGGTAATAATAACTGGAAAAAAAAAAGAAAAAAAAAACTGGCTGTGGCAAAGGAAATGGCGATGGCAGTGGCAAAAGAAATGACAATGATAAAAGCCGTGGAAATGGCATTAGCAGTGGTAGTGGTAATGGCGGCAGCAATAACAATGGCCAATACCGGAGCATATTTTTGCACAACATGGAAGTTATTGTTCAAATAAACAAAGGAAAATTGTCTACGAACAACACTTACGACAGAGCTGTTCTGCCTCGTCACTTCTATCTCCACAATCGTCGTCACCGTCACAGACCCACGTCTTGTGTACGCATACCAAATTACCACAAGTAAACGTCTGCGCAGGGCAATGTCGACCACCTGGGTAACGTGCTGGGCAACCTGTGCAAGAAATATAGGGAATATCCTTAGGTTCAAAATTTCAATTTCTGTTTACTTAAATGCGTTTTAGGACATGAAGTCTTCAAAGCGTAGCCAATTGAAAGCTATGAAGGCAATTTCACCAAGTGATGGTCTCTACAATTAAAACGAGGCCAAGTTGGATATGCTGTGTTCGCGAGAATACACTTAACTCTAGCAGTGGGTCTCTCTGCCCTGGAGTATAAATGGGTAAAAACTGAATGGTCAGGTAAAACTGAATACAAACTAATCATGATCCGGCAGCTACAACACGCACTCTTATAAATAGACTTCACGTTACCCTGTTCATCTGATGCATCATCGCAGTCTCTCTGACCATCACACTTCCAATCTTTCATTATACAATCACCATTGCTACAGGGCACTTGGTCGCCTCTGCACGATCTTCGAGAACAGTCACGCTCGTCTGACGCATCGCTACAGTCATCCTCGCCATCACAGACCCATTCAATGTTGATACAACGCCCGGAGTTACACCTGAATCAAAAGAAAAAAATAAAACAGGAAAAACGGACTCGTTGCATAACGTGACAGAGGAACAACATCAAATGAGCCCAGCAAAGATGTGTTGAGTACTTTCGGTTAACGGTTACCTGAACTCAGTGTTTGAACAAGTACGCGTGGGACATTTGTCTTCATCAGCTCCGTCGTTGCAGTCATTTTCACCATCACATCTCCAATCATAGGGAATACAGTGTTTATTGCGGCACTGGAACGAGCCAGCCTCGCACAGGTGTCCTAAATAACACGAAGTATAATACAAAAACTTAGTTCCTTATAAAAGAGTCAGAAATTGATGGGAGTAACAAAAAAAAAACAGTTTATCCACCAGCACATGTTGTTTTACATGGACTCAGCTTTCACTGGGCTGGGGAGAAATAAATTTGAACCAAGGGGGGTGAGCAGCAGTCAAGATAAAAGGTCTGAAGAGGTGGCGGGGGAAAACACAGAATAAGATCCTTAAATCAAGAGTTCAAGACTGATGCAAGCAATTAAAAAAGGAAAACTTAGAACAAACCTCAACGGACCTGTTAGGTAATAGGTACTAGGATAAAAAAGTTTAGTAGTCACTGATTTCCTAAAAAGCACATGATATGATACAGAGAACGGGATCCTATTAAAGAGTTCAAGATTTACGCAAGTAATGACCTATAGTTTCATGGACCCCTAGGTTAATAGGTATTGAAAGAGGGGAGCTTATAAACTGGAAATGTGTAAATACGAGAAATATGAACCTTCACAAACATCTATGGATTCGTCTGAACCATCGCTGCAATCGGCATCCCCATCACAAGTCCACAGCTTTGGGATACATTTGCGTGAGTTGTTACACTGGAAGCGTGACAGAGGGTCACAGGTATGATTGTGGCAAATCTCTTGAGACTCATCACTTTCGTCTCCACAATCATTATCGCCATCACAGAGCCACTGGCGGCTAATACAGCGACCGCCGGGACAGGTGTAGCGGTCGCCAGAGCAAGTGGTCGATTTGCAGTGCGCCTCGTCGGAATGATCACCGCAATCATTACGGTTGTCACACACTTGTGTTAAGAATACGCATTTGTTGTTTGCACATCTAAATTGGAAAGGGAAGCACTGTCGTACTGCGCATGACTCTTCATCAGCACCGTTCCGGCAATCTTTGTGACCGTCGCAGATGGCAATGACCGAAACGCACGTCGAGTTATCACATTGAAACATCCCTAAGACAAACATGGAGAAAGCTCAGGATCAGACAACAAGTACATTTATGTGGAAAACAGTGGTCGACAGAAACATGAGTGCTAGCCAAGATGGTTAGTCTCCCTCCCCACTCCCCTCTCCCCTTTCCTCCAAATTTTGATGCTGTCGGTTTACGAATTAAGTTGACAGTCACTTTCAGAACAACAGTTGTTAAAGAGGAAAAGGGAACAATTACTTCGTCTGAAGGAGCGGAACGTAATCAATACCACCGCTGTACACAACAATCTTACAGTCACCTGGTAAATAGGGTGGGCGAATAGGAGGAATGATATGTTAATGCACTCCACCCCTCCCCACCCTTCCCCCCTTCCCCCCACCCCACCCCTCGATCGAAGTACAAATCTTAGTGTTACCTGGTGAACAATGTCTCGGTGGGCAGGAAGGGGGCTCATCAGAGCCATCACCACAATCATCATCTCCATCACACCGCCATAAGCGTGGAATGCACATGTTGTTTGCACAAACGAAGTCACTGTTGGTGCAGTTGTCCAAACAAGTTTTACCATCATTGGCCAAATGATAGTTATCCGGACACACACAGCTGTAGCTCCCTCCTGGCTTCAACAGACACAGGCCAGAGCAAGAGGCGTTCACACAAGGATTGGGAAGAGGAGGCTGACGTATGGGATGAACTACCTAGAGCAGGAGGATACATCAATGTCTAGTTCTGAAGTCATTTATGCACATTCAAAATGAAAAAAAAAAGTTTGTTTGTGCTCGTATCCGGGTCGTTATTAACAAAACTTTTCTTTTATTCTCTCAACATCCCAAGAGGGTTATTACGCCGGAATAACGAAGTGAAGAAAGTGCGGTCTTTTCCTTTAAAAAAAAAAAGCAATGAAACGGAGCAAAATTATTGTGTACTCCTTTCTAACACATTTTACAAAACTCGATCGTTATCTAAATCCGTCTTGTAATCCTAAGACTGTAAAGGCATGTACGAAACGTAAGTTTGCACTTAGATCAAATATGCATAAACAACTACGCTTACTTGTAAACCCATGAGCCTGTGAGTTGAATTCAACAGAACAGTATGCTGCAATCCCGTCAGCCTATGAGCACGATGAATGGCCATCGTCATCCAATCAGTCCAGTACACAAAGTCCTCAAACACACTAATAGAGAACGGATGCGGGGCGTACAAATGAGACAGCTGTACACGATTTCCACCGTCTCGATCGCAAGACTCGACCACGTCCAACTTGGCATCTACCCAGAATAATCTTTTAGTAATGTGACAGAGTGTCAATCCGTTGGGCCAACCGATGGATTTACTGGTGACGAGCCATCGACAGCCAGAGCCATCCATTCCACATTTTCCGATATGCGGTTTGTTTCCCCAGTCGCTGTAAAACAAGTGGCCTGTTGAAGTGAAAGTAGAAAAGGCACAAGGTTACCTTTCTTATAGGAATCGAGGATCGTTGAAGCCACGGTAATAAATTATCGCGCTGTTAATTAAGTAAGAAAATACCTTCCAGTTAAGGAGATCATCGCGAAATAGGTGATTAACTTTCTTAATGAGAGAAACGAGTGCAGCACAAGTCGAAACGAACCATTTCGTATTTAAAAACTGAATAAAAAAAAAATCCCTCTAGGAAAGTAACACATTCACCCCAATGCTGACTTCTCCGTATAGTATCACGTCTGAATCAAACATTAAGATCATGATAATAGGGCAAAGATTACAAACTAGGGAAGCTCCTGCGTGTTAAACAATTTTTCCTTGTCAGTACATCAGGAAACGCAGAGAGAGCAGTATACAGAATACTGTACTGATACTAGGGTGCAAAGGGAGGAGGGAAAAATCTCGTATCTTTGAGCAATCTTTATTAAGAACATACCATCACTTGGATCAACCACGACTCCTCTGGGCTCCTGCAGCCCCTGTGATACGAGTGTTTTCATGTTACGTCCCTCCAGAGTTGCCACGAATATCTTGTCCTGGATTCGATCCGCGAGGTACACATTTCTCCCTACCCAGTCCACGGCTAATCCTTCCACGTTGGACAACCCAGCTGCTAGGACAACTTCTGCACTGGTGCCGTTAAAAAACGCACGTTTGAGACGCGGCGGAGCGCGACCTTCCGTCCAATAAATACGTTGTTCCAACCAATCAAAATCGACCGCGACTGCGTTTTGAACTTTGCGTAAAATTTCGCCTTCCCAAGAACCATCGACGGCAAGTTTGCGAATCTCATGACGCAGTAAAAACGCCAGGTAGGGTTTAAGCGCGATATCGTCGCGTTTACATGTTCTTAAACCGTGCAGTGAGTACCCACGGGCGCAAGCACACTTGTAGTGGCCTTTAAGATTAATGCAGTAGTGATTACACTGGTTAAGTTCGTATTTGTTACACTCATTGATATCTTCGCAAGATGAGCCATCTGATTGAAGCTTGAAACCAGGTCTGCAATCACAAGTGTACCCAGTGGACGTACCGTTACAGATCTGCGAGCATCGGTTCAGCTCCGGCCGACGACACGCGCCTATTTTACACCTCCATTCGTCTGCTCCATTCTTGCAATCCTCGTGACCATCGCAGACTTTATCCCTCAAAATACAGGTACCTTCACCGCAGTTAAACGATCCAGCGGGACACGAAGGTGCCCCGGTCGTTCGGCAGAGCTTCGGGTCTTCGTCAGAGCCATCCGAGCAGTCACGATCCCCATCACAAATGTAACTACTAGAGACGCAATATCCATTCTTACAAGTGAACTGTTTCTCATTGCATGTATGATTTTGGCAGTTTTCTTCGTCTGAATTGTCGCCACAGTCATTCTCGCCATCGCATAACCAGGCTTTCTGCACACAAAGACCGTTTTTACATCTGTGGGGGAGATAAAGAAGTTAAAACCACATTTAAAAGGTTTATACCTAATCCTTGACCAAGCTGTAAGCTCTAGTTCTCGCAAAAGTTTTACTTGATGCTAGATTTGTTGTGTCAGTTTCTGTGTTGATAATTAATTAATATTCATATGTCACGTGCAGTGTCTTTATATCCACCTTTATATCTGCATCAATCGTTTACCACAACGTGGTTTAATATCAACGTAACACACTCTCTGTGATAAGTTTCCTTTCTAACATCAATATGCATACTCTCCAAACTGTTCTCTATACATTTCTTAATGTGCTGACAAGGAGAAATTGTTTAACAATCAAGAGATTCTTCAGTTAATAATCATTTCCTTAATTCTCATGACCTTAATGTTTGATTCAGGGGTGATATTGAACGGAGAAATTAGATGCTGGTCAGTCTCAGGAATTAAAGGGTCAGGGATAATGTATCAACATTGAACGAAAGTTGCTGGTCAGTAACTTTTAGCGCATAGAGGAGTTTAGAGTTGCTCAGGGAATCGACAAATTCTCGTTAATTTCAAGGAAATCTTCAGACAGTAGTCCCCACGCGTAGGCAGATCAGGGACAGATCTATCAGTTCTGTTGGTGGGTGCAAACTTTGATTAAGAAAGAAAGCCTAAGACTGAAATAAGACAAGTTTCAAGGAGTAATAACATCTTCAGAAATGGTGGTGGTGGATGGCCAAGAATAAAGAATAGAGAAGATTGACCTTCAAAAAATATAACGAATCCTTTAAGATAGTGATACACCTGCTATATACAATTTCTGCACTGTAGTTCATAGAAAGAGCTGTTACCTGAACTGAGTTGGCTTACATGTCCTTAGCGCGCAGCCTTCTCTAGGATGTTCATCAGACGCATCGCCGCAGTCGTTGTCGCCATCACAAACGTACGACATCATCACACATCTTGAAGTGTTCTCACACTTGAACTCGGTCGGGTCACAAGTGCGGTCATTACAGTGCAAGTCGTCAGCAGATTCATCCGAGCCGTCTTCACAGTCATCGTCTCCATCGCACACAAACTTCATGGTGATACAACGGCCTGGAAACGAGTACTGCCCATCAATTGGCGGATTCATTTTGTTCACGTTTTCTCACTTTCTAAGGTTAAGGGCTAAGTATTTAAAACCTAGCAGCCTGGACACAGTTGTTCAAGGAGCGAATAACGCTATCTTGTCGGGGATTGGGGCACACCTTACGTAGTTATTGTAATCTTTCATCACGGAAATATGTGAAATAACAGGAAGTATACGCCCAACAAGTTGTCAATCCGAAACGTCAGTATCTTAGATAGCCTTTGATTGTGATCGTGCGAAGGCCTCGTAAAACTTTAGTTTCCATTAAAACACATACAACCAAACTTTGAGACTTCTCTCGTATACTGTCTCCAGCGGCCGGAGAATTTGAAGAAAATCCAATGGATAAATCGTTATCTAGCGTTAATGTGTTGACCAAACGTATAATTGTATCCACCGGATAGAGATTTATGTGGTGGATACCTTAAAACAAACAGGGCTTAGAGCCACCACAAGAATCGATTCTACTCCTCCAACGCACAATTTGGTCGATCTTCTGGTACCCATTTATGGACTTATACCGATACCCATCAATACTCCTGGGTGGAGTAAAACACCGCATGACCCGGCTGGCCTTGCCTTGAACGCGGCGATGCTAAACACTAAGCCAACGCGTTTGAAAAACTTAATAAACCTGTGCGTTGGACAGAAGTGAACGCCTTTACAAGAGGAAAACGTAAATCTCCATATCAAAGGACTTACCATTACGGCATGTAAACTGTTGACTAAGACAAGTCTGGTTGTTCTTTTCACAGAGCCCTTCATCGCTTCCATCACCGCAGTCATCCTCTCCATCGCATTGCCACCGTTTGGAGATACAGTGACCAGACGTGCAACGAAAACTGCTCGCCCCACAGGTTTTGTTGTTACAGACCTCTTCACTCTCATCCCAGTGATTCTCACAATCGTAGTCCTTGTCACACAGCCAAGACGAGTCTATACACACATCGGTGTTGCCACATTTGGCCTTTCCCGGTGGACATGTAACAGGAGGGCAGTCGGTTTCATCTGAGAAATCTCCACAATCGTTGTCACCGTCACATTTCCAATCAAAGTTTATGCAGTGCCCATTTGCACATGTGAACCTATGCGTGGCGCACTCCTTTTTGGGGCAGTTTTTCTCGTCGCTGCCGTCTGTACAATCCCGGTCAAAATCGCATTTCCAAGTCGAAAGAACACACTGTCCACTTTCGCACCTGAATTCGTTTGATCTGCACTGTCTCTGAACTAAAGAAATTCAAAGTTACATCATTGGTACCAAAGTGGAATGAGATACTGAAGGTTTTAAGGACAAGCTCGCTTGCCCACTCAATCGTTCCGTCTTCTATTCATTCTTAATTTCGCTCCTTCGAGTCATCCCTTCATGGGCGGTTTTGTACTAGAGGACCTATCCGTACACTCGTGCCGTGCGCCTAGTGTACGGATAGGATGAATAACAAGATGAACTAGGAGAGACAAACTATGCGAAATAATACGCGCGCGATGGAAAAAGGAATCGGCGCGAGTGTTTTTGGCGGTAAATTGACTGTGCATCTACCCCTCCCTTAACCCAACATTAACCCTATTCTGTTAGCGATTGATTTTTTTTTTGTTAGGGGAGGGGTAGGTGCACAGTTGCTGTGACACTGACAAACAATCATACCGCACAATGCAGAAAGCTCATCGGAGCCATCACCACAGTCGTCTTTCTTGTTGCAGACCATTGAGTCAAGCAAACACTTCCCGTTTGAACAAGCAAACTGTGTCCCTCTACAAAAGACTGAACTGTTAACACACTGGAACCCTTCTTTCAGTATAAGTCCTTCAGGGCAAGTACAAACACGAAGTCTATCTTGAACGGTGCAGAAATGCGAGCAGCCTCCACCATTTAAACACGGGTTGACAGTGCCTTTAGAGCAAATCAATAGCAAAGAGTTACAACCACTTACAAAACTGTCGAGAGCCACTACGACTTTCAAAAGTGGCCTTTCTCTCTCTTAATTAGGTTCAAATTGTACAGTTTGACAAAATCCAATAAAGAAGACCTACCATGAGGGTGAACAAGTCACCATTTAACTAAAGAGGTCACAATGGCTTGACCTTGCTACTATTAACAATGACGTAATTCCCGCGTGACCTAAGCGCCATTGAAAATTATGAGACAATAGCGTAACCTGGCCTCTCTTAACACTGACGTGATATAGGCGTCACCAAGTCAAAAATAAAGATAACAGTAACAATAAGCTGGTAAGTATTAAAATGACGAATAAGCTGGTAAGTATTAAAATGACATGACACTGGCACGACTTGATGATACCTAAAACAACTAGGTGAAATGATGTGACTTGTCCAAAATTGCCAATGGCGCGATACAAGCGTTACACAGCCACAATTTAAAGTGAGAAGTTATTATGTTGGAGCGCAACAATTGGCAACTATTCACCGAGATAGAGGTGGCCAGTGGCGGATATTTACCAAGTCGCGAAGCGGCGAGATAAGTTTCTGTCTCATGCCACCGTCATTGAGGTGAACAGTTGTTTCTGTCTACACTAAAACAGTGATACGATATTTCACAAAAAAACGATTTTATTCCTGCAACGCTCACGATATCTTCGGACACAAATCGCAGGCGAGTTGCTAGGAGGTGAATGTAGAGGTATTCGGAATTTAAGTAGCCAATCAGAGTGCGCCTCAACTATATCCTCTGTTTTAGTAAATACTAATATTGTATATTACAGTGACATATGCAAGATTCACGAGGTTTCTTTATTTAGCAACACGTCGCATGACTAAGGTGGTAAAACAAATCAAGACTATAATCCAAACACTCACAATTTTGCCGCTCTTCAGCGAACAATAGCATCCCCGTCGGTGAAAAATTCAAATCTGCTATAACAGAAGGCTCTCCGGCGGTGTATTTGTCTGCGCGCTTCACAGATTTCATTTCGTCAACCCAATACAAGAATTCTCTTAGGATACCCAAGAACAAGGCGTTTGGAGATAGTGAAAATTCCCGACGACGACTCGTTCCGTTCAAAAACACACTGTTCACACTGCAAATGAAGAGACAATGAATGCGGCAGCAGTTCAGACTAAAAAACGGCATGGGGAAATAAATCATACTCTGAAAGCACTTTTCAACTGAGCGCCAAACATAAAGCATAATTGCGTTGGTTTCATTTAAAAATTCCACGGAGGTTGATTAAAAGACAAAACAAAGCAAAAAAGATGAACCAAAACAAAAGAAACAAAAACTAGCAATTGAAAGCTTCAAAGATAAGCTGCCTAGCCTTCAATTGAAGTACTTTTAGAAGAAGTTTATTATTCCCCTCAAGTCTAAAAGTATACTGTCCGACTGATCTGTAAAAACCGGGTTGATGAGTGAATGTTAAGTACTTATTGACTAACGCATGGATTTCGCGACGCTTGCGTAAAGTCCGGCCCGACTTTATTCAGTCCGCAAGCATTTTATCATTTGACCTTCGTTCCTTCTTTTCTTTCTTTCTTCTTTCAGCTCGCATGTCACAAGGCCGTGTGGTTTCTCCGGCCCGTTCAAGCCGTTGCGTGCGGCCCTCCTACGGGAATAATGCTTTGCGATAAAGCGCGCACGGGGGCGCACGGATCATATGATACCATACGAGCTGAAACTAACCACTTTTCCCGTTTTGTAATACAAATTTACTTACACAGAGTACATGTCAACCCAGTAGAGTCTTTCTTGTGAATAATCAAATGTCATTGAATATCTTGGTTTCGTGGTAGAGTTGACAAGAGTTTGTACATTGCTACCATCCGTGCTCGCAGTTTTTATTTCTGAATGCGCACTCCACACAAGGAGCCTAAGAGAGAATGAAAAAACAAACAAACAAACAAACGAACAAGTTATTTTTGTGTATTTTTAGGTTCCCTAATGTTTTTGTTGGCACAAAGGGATTCATCTGACAAATTCGAAATTTGCTTGTTCATTAAAAAATTGATGAGAGCGCCTTTCGTTCATTGTGTGGTTTGATTGTCCAGGTGAGATAGTCCCGAAATGGACTGGACTCTTGTCGGCGGTAGTGACTAACGTTTCGAAAACCAGAACGAAATTCAACATCAGAGTCACACGAAGACTTGTTTGTTAGTCAAGTGGTGCAAAATCCTGGCTCGTGAAAAGTGACTGGTCCGAGTTTTGCCGTCATGTCAATTTATCTAAGACTCAATAAGCGTTAGTCATTTGCAATTGGGTAGTTTCGTTCGGTTGATAAAGGTAAGTCATTTTGTTCGACTGTTTGCTTCGTTGATGTCGTGAACATTCATTGGTATTGTGCCAGAAATTGTTGTCATCTGTCAATACGAATCTACTTCATGCTGGTAAACCCGCTTTCCAAAGTCAGTCGTAAAAAATAGTTCGTTCTTTGGGCTTAACTCCAACCCTAAATCAATAGCGGTGTAAGCGAGTCGCTAACTTTCTACAAGGTAAGTGATGACATCAGCGTTTCTCGTTGATCGTAAAGGTACAAAGTTTTGAGGCTTATGCCAGTCTATCCCGTGAAGGAGCCTAGTGTCCAAGTATTTCGCACGAGGTTCATTGCAGTTAACCTGATAAATCATTTAGCAGAATTCTTAATTTGCGGAGACCACTCACATCATACCTTTTACAGGGCAGGACCATTAACGGATATGATGACACACCAGCGTTGGTAACAACGATCTGTCGATTTGAGGAATTAACATGCATTTTTACGATACGTTTCGTAGTGTCCTCTGTCCAATAAAGCACTTTAGTAATCCAGTCAAATGTAAGAGCCTTTGTGATAACGTCTAAATGGATTATAAAAAAAAAAGAAAAGAAACAAAAACAAAAACAAAGTCATTACAAGTCAATAAGTGGGTCAGAGTTTCCATTAAGTTTATGTTCATCGTTAGTAGTAGTTGTTGTCACTTTTCTTTTATTGTTAACGTTCATGTTTTGATTTGGGTTTTGGACGATGTTTGGCAATTTCGGTTTGTTGGTCTTAAATTTACTTAGTTTCCCCCTACTTTTATGGTATTGATATAACGGTAATCAAGTACCACGAATCTTTGAAAGGTGGTTTGAAAACTTTCATATCATGCCACTAGCAGAGGACTGCTTCTACTTACAAACGACACATTAGCTACAGGAAACAGAAATCATAACAATAGAAATTTTCTCACTCCTTCAATGCACCTTTTTTTCCCTTTTTTTTTTTTTTTTTGGATAATATTCAGTAAAGGCTTGGCTAAATCTATATATTATTCCGTAAACCATGCCCAAACCTGCCACAAATCTTGTGGTCTTGCACAGTGTAAGGGCAAATCAATTAGAGCCGATTTTATCGCAAGTAATCTATGATCATAGTATAATTTAGTATCAGCAACTGAGTTGAAAACGTAAATTGGCCACTGTGAATAGTTTCAAAGCTGACATTTCGAGCGTTAGCCCTTAAACTCTTTACGGTAGCCAATTTACGTTATCAACTCAGTTGATAATACTAAATTATCCTGTTATACTCTCCCACCGACCTGACAACCCAGTTTCTTTAGAAAGTTACCCCCTTATTTATAGTCTATCATAAGGCTGAAATGGGTGAGGCGACTGTTTAGAACTTTCCAACCACCCTCTTTGCTAGTTATATACTAAACTAGTGTAAGAGCGTGAAGATGTGCTAACACTCATTGAGTCCACATGCTGTTGACATTTGGGCTGAACACCTGTAGTAATTCTTTTCGTTCTAATTTGACGATACACAATCGAATAGTTATCTAAATTACCTACTTTGTAACAACTCTATAATGATCACATACCCTTTAAAATAACCTTCATACCAGTGCCATTCAGAAACACCTTTTTGATATCGTTCCCGTCGGCATCAGCAAAGTAAATAAGCTTTGAATCGTAGTCATAGTCGAAAGCGACGATATTGATTCGTCTTCTCCATATTGTGGAGTAACTTGGCGGCCTGCTAAGACGACTAGTAGCTCTGAACTTAAATCTCCTTTTCGAAGTGATAATAAGGAGGCTTGTGTCATTTAAGCAGGATTTGCCATCGGGTGCCGTACGGCCTGACACACATACACATCTGAAAAACAAAGAGAGAAGATATTCGCATAAGCCCTTGCCACAATTATTTGCCGTTCACTGCAAACAATCCATTGCGTTGGCAGGAAATGAGGGATTCGATGACGTTTACAAGGGGACTCCAGATCAGATCGAGGTCTCTCTTCAAAACCGATTGTTCAGGCTTGCAAAAAGACTTGTTACCGACACTGGCAAAAGCCAGACAATATCGCAGTTGTGAAAAGTTGTAGGAATGAACAGTTAAATAAATAAATGAATGACGCGTCAGTTTGTAAGAGTATAAAGCAGGATCAACTTACCTTCTCCGGGACGAAGACACGGCTAAGCACAGCTCTGCACAGCCACCATTATTCGCGCATGGGCCTCCAGGTGGCTGCCGCTGAGGTGAGAACACGCGCACGTCTCTCAAACCATCCACCTGCGATCTTATGACCGTAACGTCTGTTCCATTATACTTATTTGCTCTTAGGATCGACTTACGCTTCCAGGTCGTCCAGTATACAAACTGGTGATGTACGGTTATGGCATATGGCTGATCCATGGCAGAGCCAATGACAGAAACAACATTACCTTGAGGATGTAAAAATTTCACCAAAAGATGGTGAATGATAAATTGCTTCCCCACGTTATATGGTTTTGTGCCAGGGGTGAAAAACCGGCGAGCCAGAAAAGAAAAAAAAACAGTCGGAGTAACAAAGAGAATCATTAACGAACGAAAAGGCTCACATCACCTCCGCGAATCAAACACGGGCCACGGCACTGAGAGGAGAATGCTGTAATCACTGCGCTCCCCGTGTTCGCATATGGATAACCAATTCGGTGCCCCTGCATAGACCAAGGTGTGTCTCAATTTTAAGGATCCACGAATTGTATTTACAGACACAAACAAATTAAAAATTTCTTACAAGAAGCCTCCACTGGTTTAAAGTTATGAAAATGTCTTGTCTTATTAAGATTAGTTAGAAAATATGGGAAACAAGACGAAAAATATCTGAAAACCGGAAGCTCAGCTGCTATATTGTGCCGTCTGAAATCATACGTTTACCGCTATGAGCATCTAATAAAACCTGTTGTGCTCATGTAGGTCCCACGGACAGAATGTAGATAATCGTGGCATTCGCATAAAATTTTAACTTACAACATCAATTTTGATAATTTGTTACATTGCAAGGAGCACGAAAAGTTGGCTTTTTATAGAGTGCAACTTAGAAGCGAACAACCAAGAAATAAACCCATGTTCCTAGATTTGATCCTAGGACCTCTGGATTTCAAAATCCGGCGGCAAAACCCACTTATCTTCTCCACTTCCTAAACCACAAATGGAAAAAAAACAGTAGGTTCTTACCACCATCAAGATCCATTCGCCACATAGCGTCGAGGGAATCCTGCACGTAGTACACCTTATCTTCCTCGTAGTCTATGGAAATTCCCGCACCTTCTTCACCCGCGTGTAATGGATAAATCTGATGATCCGAACCGTCCATTGCGGACCTGTGTATCCTCGGACGGTGTGTGTTCATGTCATAGTCTGTCCAGAATAGCAGCCCCTTGGCTGGGTACACGGCAATCGCCTTAGGTCTATTGGTGTAGTCAGAAGAGATAACCACTGTTCTGTATGTACCATCCAGTCTGCTGACCTTGTGGAACAAGAAGAAAAACTGATTTATCATTTATCTAATCTTTTTCCACTCGAAGGAAAGAAAGTCAGAGCAAGTTGAATCGTCTGAAGTTTGACATGATGCTCAAGGGCATAAAACACCAATTCTGACTCAATTTGGACCGACTTAATTCAGACTCAATTTGGAATCAGTTTGGGCTATCAGAACTGGCTGTACGAACTGGCTACACGAACTTTCCTGTTCAGGAAAAAAAAGTGGGGTTGGGGGCGGTCCGAGGAGTTACAGAAGCTATTCGGGTTTAATTGGTAGTTAGTTTCGTCGCTCCCGCACCGACTATTCGCGAGATGAACAGGATTTTTAGAAGAATGAATATTGTAGACAAGAATGCAATAAATACTACCAAAACAGCGCGACTAACGAAATTTGGGGTTCCCTCTTCATTGTGCACAAACGAGAACCGTTTCTTTCAGGTTGTTATGACGCAATAAGTGTTCTCTTTTTGCACTGTCTACTTAATCACATAGAACCTTTCCGTTTTGTTTTGTTTTCCGGTGGCTTTTGCAGTTCTTTGCACCATTTCTGCAACAATCTAAAAACAATCATCACCAAAAACATTTAGGGAATGTTTTCTGCGAAGGGAAAAGCAAACCAGGAGTCAAGAAACTAAACAACGAACAGACACGCTAAAAAATTTGTTGTTTTGAAGATTTTCTTATGTCATTCTACTCTACTACAATTAGTCAAAGCACAATTGACCTCTCAGAGCCAAACCAAAGTGTTCTCAGTTTCCGTCTTTTCTAAGCTGATAACGCCATTTTCATGTGTGACAGTTTATTAATTAGGATTGATAGACAACACTCAATCGTCAGGTACCTCGATGACGTTGGAGCTAGAATCTGTCCAAAACATGTTTCCAGCGACCCAGTCAACCGCAAGGCCTTGTGGTCTTCGAATCCCGGTGTTAATAATGTCCTTTTTTAATGTCCCAACACGCGATATTTGACCAATTGTATTCGTGCGATCGTCCGCATAAAAAATCATACTGGAGTTGGCATGAAAGTCTATCGCGAAGCAGTTCCGCACGACTCCTAGCGGCTGCATGACTTCTGTTTCACTCTTTGGGTCCAGAGGAGCACCTTGGATCTCTGCGAACGTTTGACAGTATCCATATTAGGTACTTTGAATGATGGAGAGGAGAAATGATTAAAAGATAAATAATTGCAGCCAAACAGGTAAAATGATGACAGACATAGCTGCTAAAGGCCGTTAGACTTACAAAAAGACGCAAAGACTAGCCAACACACAGAGCAACTGACAGGCAGGCAGGCTGGCGTACTGACAGACAAACACACAGACAAATAGATAGAGAGATAGAGAGACGGACAAGAAGCCCATCCGACAGCCAGGAAGGAAGGCAGACAGGTAGGAAAGTAGACAGATAGACAAACTTGCCAACATAACGGCCAACACACAGTTTACATTACACTGACGTAAGATAGGCACACGGAAAGAGAAAGGGTCAAAATGGTTAGTTTCAAGAGCAAATTTCACCCGGTGGCCGATCACTGTGTCTTTTGATCAAACTCTACAAGGTAAATCACGGAACAATATCCAAACAGCAACAGACATTATGCTAACCTGTTAATGTTGCGTAAATTAAGAAGGTGTTCACACTCTCGCAGGTTTTTCCATCAGTGGCTAACGCATATCCCACTGCGCATGCGCAAGAAACTTCCATCAATCCCATCGGTAGACACAGCTGGGTACAATTACCATTGCTCACAGAACAACCACTTGTACCTGAAATAATGGTATAAACCGATCGCTTAACAACTCAGATGATGGCAGTACTATTGGCATTGACATACTCATAATTTGAACAACGGGGGTTTAGGCCACTAGATTGATTCGGTTTGCAGTTGCTTAAATTCAGTGCTGACAAATCTACAGTGCCAACAGTAATCTGAAATAACTGGTTTTATTTAACTTTTCTCTGTGACTAATCTAAAAACATCCCGCCACCCGCTAAACCAACTGAACTACAAATAATAAAGGGGGTAAGTTTCTAAAAAAACTGTGGTGCTGCGTCGGTGGGGATAATTTTGGTTTTATCAACTGACTTTATAATGTAAATTGGCTACCGTTGAGGGTTTCAAAGCTGACGTCTCGAGCGTTAGCCCTTCTTCAGAGCGGATGGAAACAAACTGGGAACGAGACAGAGTTATTGGCTCCTTTGTCCCGTAAAGAAAAGTGCTCACAACTGAATGAGATTATTCAACACGTTCTTTTGAATAAACAATTTCTTTTTATTCGAACAGTACCTGGTTGGTTTTCTTTGGCGAATACGCGCACACCATACAGATTCTCCGTATCCTTCTTCAACACAGTCTTTCGTCTCCTACTCTTAGAACCTCGATAGATGCTTTCTGTCTGCCAGTCGGTCCAGAAAATCTTATCCTTGTAAATAACTAATCCAAATGGATGCGGTAAGTTCGCATAGTGTACTTTGATTAATGCTCCATCGAACGACATGGACCCAATGTTGTCTTGTCCAGCATCACACCAATATAATCGATTGGAGCTAAAATCTATAGCTAATCCATTAGGGTATTTGAGACCAGAACTCTTCAAAGAGGTTCTGTTTGAGCCATCCATGAGAGCACGCTCTATCCTGGGGTCATTTTTGTCCCAGTCGGTCCAGAAGAGCAGACTTCATGGCAAAAAAAAAATAAAACCAAGCAAACAAAAGAAATAAATACATAAACAAAACTGAACAATACGGCAACAATGAAGGTGGTTGAAAAAGGTTGCGTTGTTTTGAAGCAGCAATGTTTTGATGGATTCATGTTGCCACAACTTTCCGTTTAAATCCTTGACAATAACATTAAACAAATAACTGAACACCGTAAAACTAACTCCTCTTGGAAACGCCCTTGTTTTCAGCTCTGTGTGTTGTTAATTTAAAACAACGAGTTTTATTGATTGTCATTTTTTTAATTATTAATATTAATCATAACCATTACAATTTCCTCAAATGTGATTGGTGCATCAGCTGTTTTATATATCACTAATCACTCTGTACAGTTGTAATCGGATAATGTAATCGGACATTTCGCTGTCATCGAACACCTGTAATCGGACAGTTGAAGCAGCCTATTATACTAAGTCCACTCAACTAAATACACTAATCACAGAATTGATCACAATAACCATTAACCAAGAAAAAAAAATGGGAAACTTCCAAATTTTTTGCTTCAGACATTGTCCCTACCAGAGATGTTTGTCCTATATGTTTTTTTTTTCGGAAATTGTAATGGTTATGATTAATTGGTAACAGGACTTCATGTCGTCCAATTCTGTCTGTAATCATACGAGTGATTGACAAATCGGACTCCCGCTTTGCGGTCGTCCAATTTTGTAAATCACTCGTATGATTACAGACCGAATTGGACTCCACTCGGTCCTACTACCATCATTAATTAAAAGGGAAGGAACTTAGCTCTACAGTAATTTGTGTTAACAGGGGGCACAAGTTTGCTTTTCATTTCATGGTAGAAAAAATACGATACATTACTGCGACAACTTTGTGGTGCTGTCTCTGGAGAAAATAACCTAAGCATCACAAAAAGATCTAAGATCGGCAAGTGATATTAGCAGTCGTTGCAGCGGAAAGTGATAGGGCGCTTACTATAAGAGAAAAGACTTTTCTACGAGTGACACCTACCCCATCGAAGGATGCACCACAATCGCCCTGGGTTTACTCAGACCCACGGTGAGCAGAATCTTTTGGTAACTACCATCCTGTCGTCCCACTCCAATAATTTTCTTTCCTTGATCAGTCCAGTAGATATTTTTTGCTGTCCAGTCATATGCTATGCCTTCTATTTGGCCAAAACCTACAAAAGAGAGAGAGAAAAAAAAAAAAGAAAAACAATTCGTTCCACACAGAAAGAGAATGTAAAGTCTCCTACAAAGTTGGAAGGCCAAATCAACTACGAGCTTCATTCTGGCGTCCACCCCATAAGACAATATTGGTATAACACCACTGCTTTTGGGGTGGTCTGCTCTTCCATCTGATTCAACCCCACTCCCCTCCCCCCCAAACAACCTGACAATAACCTCTTCTCTAGATGTCCACTGCCTCTGCTTGAAAACGAGGGTTAGACTGAAGCCTGAGATAAGAAAATGATCTTCATTTTCGTAATACAACTCATTTTCACAACAAAGGTCCAATATTTAGCCTTGTTTCAAAGTGTTTATAGAACTCGAAAAAACCTACCAATATTCTTGTGCGGTGACAAGACGATTTCAGAACTCAAAAACTTCCGAAAAAAAGTGTTTCAGTGTTTCACATCGGTGCAGTGTGGAAGGGCATGGCTGCAGTCGTTACCGTGAAATATTGGCTTAGGAATTGTCGGTGGAGATTGGCGAACAAAGTATTGCTTATTCTCTCTATCAGTGACCCACTCTTGTTTTCACAAATTGTTAAGTCTAACATTTGAAGTGTACTCCTACATAATTGCAAATTTTCAAATTTTCCTCACTCTGCACTCATACCACTCACCATCGATAATTGTTTCCCGGCCTGAGCCATTCACAAACACCCTGGAGATAGAATCTGTAGAGATGTCGCTCCAGAACACATACTGCTCTTCTACGCTGAAATCAACTCCGACAGCCGTCCTTAACTGTCTCACAGGTAACATCTGATCCTTGGTGATACTTGGGTTCAAGGATATTCCACTGATTCTGTTCTTCTTGGCATACAACAGGAACGCTTCCTCTGTAGAAAAAAGTAATTTTCTAGTGAGTGTCGAAAGTAATCTGACACTTTCAGGAGCTTATCATATGTCAATAGAACGCTTCTCAACCAGTGAGATGGAAAAATAAAACCAATCAATTAACCGTTGCCATAACTTAGGTTTAGGCTAAACGAAACTCAATCAAAAGTGTGCTAAAGTAACTTTTATCTAACAGTGCATACCTTGCGAGATATAAGTGTTTTAGGAAATCGTTTGATTTCCAGACTATTACTGTATTGAGTATTAAAACCGCATTAAACTGTCCAATAAAAACAAAAATGAAAAGAGCTTTCAAGATGGGTAACTACCGGGTTCCAATGCACAGTTGAATAACTTAAGACGAGCAGAAGCAATCTTACCAAGGCATGTGACATTGTCGTCCTGTAGTACCCTACCCACAGGACAATGACAACTGTATCCTGACGGTTTCAGCAGACACAGGTGAGAACAAGTGCTGTTCAAACAATAATTTACACCTGAAACAGAAAATTCACTCCCTCTCAATGATTTCCGTTTAAGTTAAAGACGAAGGAGGAATTATAATAAAGATAGATTTTAATTAAAATAGTCAAACCTGTATTTAGCGGTCAACCACGGTAAATGGCGGGATGACCGCTTAAAACATGTTGACCGCTGAAAGCAGGTTGCACAAATAAGGGGTGTTATGAAAAACGATACAAACACCACTTCGTGCCATGATTGACTACTCAATGTACACAATCTCGCTCAAAATTCTACTTACTTTGATTTTGGGAAAGAAATTAAAGATAACTTCAAAGATTATTCCTAGTTTCATTTGAGTGGTCCCGCTCTAAGTGACCGTTCAATACAACCTTTGGGATCTAGTAAAGGGTGACTGCGACTGCTTAATGGAGGTGAAAATTACTGAGATTAAGCTAAAAAATTCGACCGCTTAATACAAGGTGACCGCTCACTACGGTGCTGCTTAATACAAGTTCGACAGTACATAGTTCCAAAATATGATTGTTTAATAAAGAAATTATGTAATTTAACGGCTACTTCAAAACAGCCTTGTGACCACTGTGCATTGGTCGCCAAATCTGTGACTTACACCAAACTTAATCGCCAGGTGAACGTAGCTTGGATCGCCGATTTAAAGGTAGATTTGCGCAGTACAAAAAAATACATCTAATAAAATTTTTGTTATGATGAAATCATTTACCTTGTGGTTGTTGAAGAGGATGGACTACGTGCAAGTCCATAGGTCGAAACCCAGCAGTGTAAACTAACGTAACGTTACCCTCATGGAACTTTTTTGTCTGCTTGACCTGTCTATCACTCCAGTCAGACCAGTATAACGTGTCCTCAAACAAGGTAATGGAGAACGGATGGCGAATCTTTCCTGCATCTCGAAGCACTGTGTAACGTTGAGAACCGTTGTAGTTACAGAAGGCAATGTAATCCAGCCTTGCATCGATCCAGTAGAGTCGCCTGTGGAGAAAAATGCAGAGTGGAAGCACACCTTTGGGTGGTTAAGTACGAAGTGCGACAATTCTGTTGGCTCAATTTCGCCGCTCTATCGAGTGCAGTCTCAGTAGCACAGCGGTCAGGGTCTGTGCATCCACGGACGCTGCAGTGGCAGAGCGGAGGCTTAAAATCGTGCCTTTAGGCTGTAAGAGCTGTAAGTTATTTACAGTGTGTCAACGTTTCTGATAATTTCAAAACAATATGGCAAATTATCAAAACGCCCGTATATTAATAAACGTTGTGTTCAAAAGGTCTCAATTTTTTTCTTTTCCAAACTTTTTTTTCTTTTTACAGAGTTCTCATGATGACGTCCCTAGCTCCCCCTCCTCTCCCCCCCCTCCCCCCCCATTCCGCAAACTTGTGTGACACCAGTTTTATTTCCTATTGTTTCCCCAATGGCCTAACACTGAACTAACAGCGAACTCGTTGCAAAACGAGGCCATAGCTAACGGTGACAAATTTCCATCATACTGCCAAGAAAAGAAACGCCCCATGCATCCAGTAAAGTGAAAGAGATTTTAACGCGAGGGCCGTCGAACAAACCTGTTGGCAACGTCTAGTGTGATGCCATTTGGCCACTCAATGGATGTATTAATGAGTACTTGTCGAGAACTGCCATCCATGTTGGCCCTCTCGATCCTGGACTTCGTAGCACCCCAGTCAGACCAGAAAAGAAGCCTGAATGTAAAGAAGAAAATAAAAATTAGTTTGAGTACGGCATAAACTAAGAGGCATCTTAAGTAGCATATATTGCTTATCGCCAGTGCTTTAGATTTAGCTGTATCCTCAAACAAGACGGAGAAATTTGGTGTAAAATATCAAAATAAACTGCGAACTAATTGGTCAGACGTCTCGAATACAAATTGGAGTTGCCTACCCGTCTCTCGGATCAACTGCAATTCCACGAGGGGATTTGAGGTCATCAGAAATCAACGCCATACGCCATTCGCCTTCCAAATCAGAGACTTCGATTTGATGGGTGTGCATGTCAGTCCAGTACAAATGGCGTCCAATCCAGTCCACCGCAAGCCCTGAAACAAGAAGATCAAGATCACATCAACCATGAAGTACACCAATAAGGATCAAGCCAAGATTCTATATCTCCATAAAAGGCAATATTGCAAAGGAAATTCCCCTTTGGTTTTGTACTACAATGTGTGATAGAAAACTTGGCACGCTCGACTACTTTTGGAATTTTTTTCCATAACTTTTGTCGTTGGTGGTGTTGACAAAATGGTTACCACCAGGGTGGGGGAGGAGACGGGGACTTTAAAAAAACTTATTAGAAATCAACGATAAGATAACTGTTTATTATGTCAAATGGAGGGTTGTCGACCACTTACTGAGGGTAGGCGTACCAATGCCTTCTGTCACCGATTATAGATCACTTCCGTTTCCGTAGATTCCAGAAATATCGAGAAAAAGCCAAATTCTGCCCACCTGGACAACACACAATTTTTCGCGCTGAACTTAAACATTCGAACAACTCGCGAGGTACATGGCACATGTCAGTTGACATGGTAATGCTAAGGGCTCATGGGAGAATCTTTTTTCCCAAAGAAAAATGTTACCAAGCAAAGGAAATGATCCTCTCAGTAGGACTGCAATCTTAGTAATTGCAGAAAACCTGCAGTACTAACGGCAACTGGGCACAAAGCAACACGCTACGAAGCAACACGCTAGGAGCGAGGCAGATTTTTAGAGGGTTCTTCTTTCTTGTAGAAAAACTTCTACCTGCGAGGAAAATTTATTTGCTTGATTTTCATCTGCAGGTCCAATGAGATTTATCTCAGCACAAGTTGTTGGGTAATGTTACCAGCAACATAATCGTTGCAAAATATTAGTTCTGCTAAAGGTATTAACTTGGTAATTATTCACCTTCCGTCATCGACAGTCCTGTTGTGATCACATCTTCGCATTCACTGCCATTCAGATAGCATCGTATGATTTTATCTTTAGTGACATCTGAAAAGTACAAACGCTGTTCAGACCAGTCAAAGTCTATACCAATTGCGCTCGACAGACCATCTAGCACTGTGAGGTGGTTGGATCCATGGCGAACGTCGACCTTCATCACCTGACGCCGGGTTGAGAAATAAAGGTATGGTGTGATGTTATCTATGGAGAGCGGACAGACCAAGTCAAAATTATGTGAAATGTTATCAAGACTTAAAATAATAGCGAGGCTAGGAGGGACATTCGGAATGTAGAAAGCTATGTATCAAAGGAGAGTCACCCAAGCTTCACTCTTATTCAAAGGCCGAGCTACGACGGACTAAGAAATCACCAGGGCCTGGGTTCTAGCTCTAGCAGAGTCACTACGTTAGGCTCTTGGGCAAGACATTTTACTCTCTCAGCACGCCATGCAGACCCGGAGTACAAATGGCTAATGGCAAACTGTCGCTCTACGATTGGTTCAGATAACTCTTGCCACTCTCTCAACCAATCATATTTGAAACTAATACCGACCGCGATATGTTCACTCGAATTTTCCCGTTCTTCAAACAGTTTGCTTTTTTACTTTAAAATCTCATCACCCGTTTGTTATAGTTTCTTTTAATCTGAATAAGAAGGGAGAGGAGATTATCGTCTATGAACAAGCATCCACTCGAGAATGGACCCATACTGTTAGCCGGTTGCAGCCACAGTAGCCGGATATGAGTACTAGCAACTACGAGTCTTTCAGGCCTTATAATATTCAAAGGAGCATTTTTTTTTTTTTGCAAGGGAAAAAACTAGAAAGCAAATTACAGGAATATAATTGATTCACGTAATCAGTTATGTCTAGACCTGGACGATTCAAACCAAGTGCGTGTCGCGAACTCAAAAGCGCAAGAAAATGTTCTCGACTAAGTGATGATTTGCGGAAAAATTACGCTACAAAATGCCACTTGTCTTACCGTTAGCTTTGCATCGTTTCAAATCATTCTCTAGTTTATAGCCTTCAAAACATTTACACCAGAATGATCCTTTGTTATTGACACACCGCTGGCTACATGTGCTGGGGTTGTCGCACTCGTCAACATCAAGACACGTGACACCATCATCGTCTAAGGAATATCCCTCGTGACACGAACACAAGATGCCTGTTGAAAAAAAAAATTGATAAATAATTAAATACATAAAAATTCAGAACCAAACAAACATTTCATTTCCTCGGTGAAACTGGTGCACTTTGGTTGGGTTTAAAAGAACTCTGAGATAAATCAATCCTGGACAGGAGAGGACAAAGTTTATCTTCTCGTCTTCCTTAACAAATCCCCTCGCCTAAAGATTGCCTTCCTTCCAAGTTTTGACAACCAGACTTAAGAAGACAATCTTCGATATAATTTCTTTTTTTTTTTTTTTTTTTTTTTGGGGGGGGGAGGGGGGTGAATTACCCGACAGAATAGAAAGTTCTTCTTTTCAGGTCTCCTTCATAAGTTTCCTTTGTTCACAAAGAATGCGAGCCAATTTTCCTGGAAAAGTATCCTTCTTAAGGAAAACGTGCTAGTGTTAGAGCGCTTCATGGTCGAGTGACGCAAAACCAAAACCAAACTGATTACAACAGCCAATCAGATGAAAGGAGACCATAACGAACTGCCAATGAGATCTCAGCGAGCAAACAGCCTGAAGCGCGGGAAAAAATGAGTATACAAGTCAAGATTGATTTCCTTTTGATTCTGATTGGTTGAGAAAGTGGCACGAGTTTTCCTGAACCAGTCATATGGTGAGGTAAAGCGAAGCCAAAGCAATCCGGATTTCTTTCGACATTCAATTGAAAATTGCCCTGATACGAATCAAAATCGACTTCTATCTCTTATCACACCTCTGCTACGAATCAAAATCGATTTTTATTTGTTATCTCTACTCCGATACGAAACAAAATCGATTTTTATCTGTTATCACAGCACGTATAAGCGGCTGCCTATGGTGTGATAGGCGGCTGTGCCTATGCGCACAATAAACAGACGGCGGTGAGAGGTCTTATGGCCAGCGGTAGACAGTATGTAACCAGCCTTGATTTAAATTCGTGCATTCCTAGATAAACACCTTCTGGGAGATGTTTGCAGACTTGGGAACAGCCTCCATTTTCTTCATGACAACCAGTAAGCACACACCCTACTCCCTCGTCGCTACCATCGGGACAGTCTACTCGCCCATCACAAAACTTGTTCTCTTCCAAACACACGGACGAATTGAAACATTGCCTCTGAAAAGGGCTGCACGTGATTTGAGTCACAGCTGGCGGAAAAACGATAAATGGAAAATTGAAATAAAGCAAGAATTATCATTACCAATACCGTTGACACTGTTATTATTGCTATAAGAAAAATTATATTGTTATCAGCATCATAATTGATTATTATCACTGCATTCACTAAAAGGACGATAAACCGCTGGCCTGCATCTTTTCTGTGCTGATTTATAGCAGGGAATGACAGGCCCCCATTTAAACCAGTTTAAAGCTTGATTACACCAATTTTGAAATCACTGGTGGTCCCTGTAATCTAATTGGCTCTAATTGGTGCTATTTATTCACGAATCGCACCATTTTTTGCTTTAAATCGCATCTTTTTCCCAGCCAATGAGGAGGCTACACCAAAAAAAAAAAACAACCAATCAGATTTCAAGGCTTGTTTAAAGTAACCAACCAAATTGCAGGAAAATGAAAGACAAAGAGTATCATGTGGCAAATTTTGAAACTTTTGTTTCCCCCTCAAAAAAAAAGGATGAATGTAATTTCAAACCGGCTCAGCACTGCATCAATAAAATATTTGAACTGAGCAAGTCCGTTATTTGAGCAATTTCAAAATGGATATAATAAAAATGGTAATTGACCTCCTGTCGTGCAATTTGGTCTGAAATCATACTTGTGATTTCAAATCACGCGTACGATTCCAGCCCAAACTGCACTCCACTCAGTTCAATTACCATTATTAACTGGGCCACCCTGTCTAAATATCGAAAATGAATAAAAACATTTTGACTTCAACCACTTCTCGGATGAAACACTCTTCCTCGTGTTTAATATATTACCTAAAGATACATACGGGAACATGAAATCTATTTTCAAATTAACTCACAGCAGTTACGCTCATCAGTCATATCACCACAATCGTTGTCCCCATCACAGACCCAGTCCCTCGTAACACATCGCTGATTGTCGCAGGTCAACTCGTCCGGAGCACAAGTTGATAATGAGCAGTTTGAGAGTTCATCTGACTCGTCTCCACAATCATCGTCATCATCGCACACATATCGCTTTGGGATGCATTGAGAGTTATTGCACAAGAACTTGTCTACACCACAGCCGTTGGGTTCCACGGAGGCTACAAGGAAACGGACACAGGTTCAGAGATAGTGAGTGGCTTTACTAAAAGAGATAGATGTCAACTTTCGATGATAATAAACCGCTGCGCACAATCAAGTGCATGCGCGAAATGCAAAGACACCAGAATAAAACCAATTTAGAGACTTTTTCAAGCACTTACGGCATCCTGCCTCATCAGTTCCATCTTGGCAATCTTCAGCTCCGTCGCATCGCCAGCTTCCAGTGACGCACTGGCCATTCAAGCAACGAAATTCACCCTGCGTGCACTGCCGAGGAGGGCAACTCTGTTCATCCGCGTTATCACCGCAGTCGTCGTCACCGTCGCATCGCCAATCGGAGGGCAAACATTCTCCAGACGGGCAGGAAAAGTCCTGCTCCTGACAACTTTGGTTCTCTGCATGACATAAAACGATGAGAGTCATTGAAAGAAATATCGTCTTCAAATATGCTTCTGTTAAACCAGGTTTAACAGAATGAAGACAAGAACCAGAAAATGGAAATAATGAATTTTCCATTGCGTTCCAGTAATCAAAAACTTGTATTTTCAAAGTGCCAAAATTCAGTTGGAAGTCGACAAAAATCATTTTAATTAAACTTCTTCTAAGAGGAGACAATTTTCGATCATGTTTTTTTTGTACTGAGGCGTGAGTAGTCCAGTGGTCAGTGTGCTGGACTCTGGGTCCGACGGCCCGGGTTCAAGTCCTGGCTGGGGCATGACGTTGTGTCCTTAAACAAGACGCTTCACTCACATTGCTTCGTCTTCTCGGATAGGACGTAAAACCGTAGGCCCCGTCTCCTGCAGGGTTGGGGTAGGAGACTTTAATTTCCCACGCACGAGATTACTGTGTGGTGGATGTCCTCCCCTGGGGTGGGATGGGTGGAAGAGACTTGTAAGGCGCATCTGAATATATTCATATAGATATTTGCGCCGAATAAGTATTTATATTATTATTATTATTATTACTGTGTGTAAGATTTGGTGCGATGGGGTTATCAAATGTAGGGCGGACTTGGGTCACTTACCACATTTCAGTTCGTCCGAACCATCAACACAATCATCAAACCCATCACATCTCCAACTGATAGGAACACATTTACCATCGCTACAGCGGAATTGCACCGCGGTGCAGGCGGACAGTGAACAGTTAGACTCGTCCGAGCGATCTCCGGTTCCACAGTCGTTGTCACCATCGCAATACCAGTTTTCAGGGATGCATTTACCGCTTTTCAAGCAGCGGAATTGATTTTCCTTGCAAGATACACCAGCTAAAATCAAAGAAAGAGAAGAACAAAACAAAGAAACAGAAGTATTTGAGAAGCTCTTCGACAGGGTTCCTGGGGTAATTTTCTTAAAAGTCGCTATCCGGCGACCTAAACCATGAAATCATTGGCACAAATAAAACTTTAGTCGCTAGGAAAGTCTGTCTAGCGATTATTTTTTCAAAACATTCACTGCACCTCTCACGGCTGAACACTAAGACTACCGAAGAGAAAGAAGTAAAATGTCTGTATAACAGAAAATGAGGTATTAGCAATATTGTATAAAAATGTTTCTCTATTTATTGATAAGACTACTTGACTTGGAGCCCCCACATTACACCAAAACCAAAGGAATCACGCGGCTAACGAAAGGAAAGAAAAATACCTTTGAGAGCCAATGAGAAGTCAAGGTAAAAACAAGCAACGCGAGCGACTATGTCGTGATTGGTTTTAAATTTTGATCTGATTGATCAAGAGAGTTGCGCAAGATAATACTAAGAAAATGGAGGCTATTCCCAAGTCTACAAGCATCTTCCAGAAGGTGTGTATCTAGGGATGCACGAGTTCTTGGTACCGCTAAAAATCATGACTTCAGTATCAAATCTAGTTGCCGAAGTTTCCTTCTCCTTGTCACACGAGCAAAATGTTCACATAAAAAGTGCCCTGTTTGGCTAGCGTGTGAATAGATGTCACTTCTGCAATTAATCCTATCAAAGCTGAATTTCATAAAACCTTGTGACTTGGCCGTTCTTAAACTTTATTTGAATCAAACTTACGACAATCTGCAAATTGCGACTCATCTGAGTGATCCAGACAGTCAAATTCTCCATCGCATTTCCAGTTTTTGGGAATACAGGCCCCATTGTGACATGCAAATTGATTTGCTGGACAGTGAGGTGTAGGGCTGACAGATTCATTGACTGAATTTCAAAAAGATTAAAAAATAGCGTCAGGCACAAGTTATAAGAACAATTACTCTCACACAAGTCAATTACGAACATACAAGATAATGTGTCATATCAACTGAGTCGATAATGTAAATGAATCACTGTAAAAAGTTTCTAAAGCTGACATTAGCATTGAATGCTAGCCCATTCCCTTCACCGCTCAAATTATCAAACTCTTCACGGTGGCCGATCTAAATTATAAACTCAGTTGATAAGCCAAATTACTTTTTTGTACCACCACCGACGCAGCACCTCAGTTTCCTTAAAAAGTTACCCCCTTACTCTCCGACAAGTCAATTAGGACCTTGGCCTCCTTAGTAGATGTCAGACGTATCAAATGAAAATAAATCAGTTTAAAATTGGACTATAATGAATAAGGTTCTGGAATCGGACTGATTAAATCACAGTTCGCGGTGTTCTTTTTGATGATGTTTAGCTTGTTTCTGTCTTGCAGTTCCCTGTTTCGACAATGATGGTCACATTAAAAAGTCTCCGTCCAGTTTTCTGAAGACAACACATGCATTTGAATCTATTTAATTCGTTCTAGCTTTTGTTTCCAAAGGAATGCATTTTGTTGTCAAATGGCAAGAATGCCCCTTCGATAGAAAATTTTCCCTAGATGCAAGGAGAGACCTCTCCTACCAACCTTTCATGTTATTTTGTACTCTGCTGAAGGGAAATGCTGCCGGCGCTCGATAAAGCCACTTTATTCCGGTTACTTTCAAACTTTACAACACTCTCAAATCACTAGCAGATGTGAATGACTTATAACTTTTCTTCAAGTTAAGTACATCCTCCGGTAAAACAAGAGCGAGAATAAACGCACTTATCAGTAGGTGAGTGTTATTGTGATTGAACACTGAATTCTCTTCACTAACATACAAAAAAATTGACTTAAGCTACAGAGGAGAATCATCATCCAGATCATGGGAACGAAATGGTTTAATCATCTGTGTTTGTCTTGCTTGATATCGTTTTTAGTTTGTTTGTTTGTTTATTTGTTTGTTTGCTCTCTGCTCCACTTACCAATACATGTCTTGTTACTGCCATACTCCAACTGCATACCATAAGGACAGGCACACGTGTAACCTCCTGGACGCAACAGACATAAGTGGCTACAACCAGAAGAGCCACTGCTACAGGGACTACTGCCTGTGAAAAGAAAAAAACCAAAATGTATAACACTTATCATAGAATAAAAATTTTAATACGCAAACTGGCCTACAGTTTTAATCTAAATAAAAATTTTAATACGCAAACTGGCCTACAGTGCACAGTGCAAAGACATGAAGCAAATTAGAGTGACAAATCCCTAAAGACCATCCATTTTACTAATGTAACATCTTAAAATATTAATCCCTTTTAGTACAGCACCACTATAACATTCCTCTAGTTGTTCAGAGGGCAGATAACGCTATCCGAAAGATAAATCGCTATCCAAAGGATAAGTGAAGGCAAAACTTACTGGGCTTTCCACCGGATAGAGATTTATGTAGTGTATAGCGTTATTTACCCTTTGAGCAACCAGGGCCTTGCCGACTTTCACTCTAGAATCATTCTTAATCTGGACTTGGATTGAAATTCTTTATCTGCTGTTCTGAAAATGCGCGTTAGGCAGTGTTAGATATTGAGTAACCAAGGGATGGTTCGAAATGAGACGGATCACATCAGATTTAAAGAACAACACAACAGAAACGTTTTTTACAAAATGACAACTCTCCCAGTCTGGCTGCCTTTTAATGTGCATGCACAGCCGCTGGCCAAATACATTACAGGCAGAATTTAAATTTCCCACCTGTTTGTCTCTTGGAGTCATAAACTCTAATTTCCATCACACCCTCCAAGCCTGATCTTAGTACCGCCTCAGAAGATGGATCAGTGATCTTTGCTCTTAGTAGTTCGTGCCTGGTCCAATCAGTCCAGTAGACGAATCCATTGTGAACGTCAAGACCAAACGGGTGACCTGTGGTCAGAAGTATCATCTTACGATCAGAGCCATCCAGATTCACGCTTTCAATGGCGGAGGTCATTTCATCTGACCAGTAGAGTTTCCTTGAGGCGTAGTCGATGCTGAGGCCATTTGGCCGGGCCAAACCCCCTCCTTGTACAAAGATTTGACGTCCTGTGCCGTCCATGTTGGCAGCTTCTATTCTGGCTGGAGTAATCCAAGCGCTCCAATACATTCGCCTGGTTTTACAATCAAGCAGCACATCTTAATGGAAATCATATAAGAGAAATAGCTCCCAAAGCCAGTTAAGGACTAAAACCTCGTCATTTTTTAATTGTTTGACCCCTAGTAGTGTTAGTTATGACAATTCTCTTTATAATTTTAATACACGATCACGCACTTAGAGTAGTGTTCTCCCTTATTTTAAACATGATAGGTAAAATAGATTTTCAAACCGGTAAAGCAATCCCTTTACATGTTGAATTTTCAAGAATTCCAAGCAATTTTAAACGGTACTAAGAGGTACTACAGGCGGTAAATGTTACCAGTTACTGCCTGAAAAGGAGAACATTGTGAGAGTATGACCCTTTGATCCCTAAGGGCCTATTTACACGGTACGACTTTGTCGCATGCGACAAGCTTACGACAGGCTTACGACACGAATTTTTTCGTGTAAATCAAACCTACAACTCGCTTACGACTCTTAAGTCATGTCGTAGGCCTGTCGTAAGCTTGTCGCATGCGACAAAGTCGTGCCGTGTAAATAGGCCTTAAGAGTGACTAGTATCTAATTTCTCCACATAATATCACCCCTGAATCTTCTATTAACGTCATGAGAATAGAGGAAATGATCACCAACTTATGAAGTTCTTGATTGTTAAACAAATTCTCCTTGTCAGCACCTTAGAACAATATGGAGAACAACATGGAGAACATGGATACTGATAGCAGAGTGTACAGGGTTAAGAGAGGTAAATAGATCACTCAAGCAGCACATCTTACTAAACATCATTTAAGAGAGCTAGCTCTGGTTGAGTATGACAATTCTCCTTACAATTTCAGTACACTACGATGCACTTAGACCTAACCCTTTACACCATAAAATTAGTATTCATATTCTCCACACTGATCTCTCGACATCTTCTCTAGTACTGACAAAGAAAACTTGTTGGACAGCCAGGAGGTTCCTAAATTGGTGATCATTCCTTTCATTCTCGTCATCTCTACACCTGATTCAAAGCTGACATTGTAAGGGGGAATTGGAGTCTATTCACTCTTATGGGTTTAAGGGCAAAACATAAATGAGAAAGTTCTCAAGCTAAGAATGTTCTTTAAAAGTAATATCAGTGAATAAATTATCAACTAGTCAACATAAAAATGAATAGCAATTGGCTTCCAGATCCTGAAAATAAAAGAATTTAACTTACCCGTCCACAGGATTTACCACGATAGCTGAAGGTCTTGCCACATCTTCATGAAATAACACTTTCTTAAATGATCCGTCTAATTTCGCTACTGCCACCTCACGTTTGTCTGCGTCTGTCCAATACAAGTTTCGACCAAGCCAATCCACTGCAATACCATTCACAGATCTCACCGATTTGACCAAAACCTCCACCTTTCTGTCAAAACGACCAACTCTGCTGATGTTGTCCCGTTCATTGTCTGAGAAGTATATCATTTGCTCTTTGACATCATAGTCAATACCTACAGCATTTCCGAGCCCAGATAGAGGAAGAATTGCATCGCCAGATGAATTCACCTCTTTGGGTATACCAGCAATTTCTGTATTACGGGCGAAGATCAGGAAGGTCTCCATCTTCTTGCACGATTTTCCATCATCCGTTAACTGATATCCCGTTTTACACTTGCATATACAATCTCTGTGTGGAACTGGGGATATGAGACAAAGGTGTTCGCAATTGCACTTTCTATTTTCACACGGATTTGCAGCAGCTGGCTGCCTGGCGCTGTGATACACATGAACATCCATTGGCTGCCCAAGGTTTGCCAAGAGAACTGTACTATGATTACCAAAGAACTTCTCCACTTTCACAACTGCATGCCTTGTCCAGTCTGAGAAGTACAAGTCATTTCGAAACACGGTGATGGCAAATGGATGTACAACTCTTGGATAGCCAAGAACCCTTCTCCTGTTTTTACCGTCATAACTCATGGCTCCAATATAGTCAAGGTGTGCGTCTCCCCAGTAAATTTGACGCGTGGGGTAATCCAAGGTCAGCGCATTGGGCCAATAAACAGCTGTGTTGGCAATAGTCTTGCGATTTGTTCCATCCATTCCAGCCCGCTCTATCACGTGTTTTCCCCAGTCAGTCCAGAACAGGTAGCTAAAAGAGAGAATTTCTATAGAATGAGTTGAAATCCATCTTCATATCATCTTCCAGTCACGTCTTAGGGAGGATTATCTTTCATCGCACTAATGATATTCTCCGTAACTAGTTAACTAGTTTTATCTTAAAACATTATTGTCCATGGATGTAACAGCAACTTAGCTTTGATCATTGAAGATAATTAACTACGATGACAATTCTTTGTTTTTGCGTGTGACGTTTACATAGTTCGTGTTTATTTTGGCCATACTGTACCTCCGCTATAACTTAATCCAGCTCCCTGTCAATTATAGCTGCGTAGTTATTCCAGGATGCTAGTACCCTTTAATCATCATAATAATACTAATTAATTATTATTTTCTGTTAAATACATTACTAAAACTTGATAAAGGGTACATAAAGGGAACTGTTCTGGTTGTTCCCGAAGAGAAATGTTAAGAAAAAAAAAACATAAAAAACATGCCTACGTACAACTCACCCGTCCCTAGGGTCAACCGCAATGCCTCTTGGGCTTGCAAGATCAGTAGTTATAAGCGATAACAGGAAACTCCCGTTCAATCTACAGACAAAGATCCTTTTAGCAGAGCTATCGACAAAGTACAAATTCTTTGCCACCCAATCCACAGCAATCCCATCTGACACAGCTAACCCATCTTTTGCCACAGCTTCTACCTAAAAAAGATAACAAAATGAAGTCTAAGGTTAACGACCGGCACTGAGATCTCTGACAAACTCCTCTCATTATCTTTTAAAGGTGCTTTTCAGAAAAAGGATCCTGTTCTCGGACCACACTTAAAGGAGAGGCAGTGATGGAACTCGAAACCCCGAAACATGAACAAAAATCTGTCATTTTAAGCGCAATCGCTCATAAAGTATGCAGTTACAGGGCGTGAAATTAACTTTTTTTTCTGATAGCCACCCCAAACCATGAACAAAAATCTGTCATTTTAAGCGCAATCGCTCATAAAGTATGTTCAGATCTAAATTCAAGATGGCGTCTAGTTATCGATCGAGATGCATGTGCTACGTTTTAGAAACAAACTTAACGAGGAAGTTTGCCGCGGATTTATCTTTGCAAATTTTTTAATTCACTATATCTCTTGGTAAGGTTATGATGAAACGTTCTAGTCGCCAATTTGGCGACTAACTTTCAGGATTTGGTCGCCAAAGTGAAAAATTTAGTCGCATTGGCGCCTGTATTAGGCGCAATTTCACGCCCTGAGTTAGGATTGAGGAAAGAGAAAGCAATTAAGCCCTTATTACTAGCGCTGAGGCATGCGCGTTTCTTCGCCCGCGATAAAGTTTGAGACCGAGCTGATGAGAGGTCTGCGAGGGGTCTGGCACTAACAATGAGTGCCAGATCCCCCGCAGACCTTTCGAAGGCTGGTCTCAAACTTTCTTGCGGGCTTAGAGACACGCGTGCCACGGCACTAGAAATGAAAACCTGCTCGCATATGGAAATACTGAAAAAAAAATAAAACTGAAATCTCAATCCATCGCATGGTCATATTACCTCTCCAAGGTGTCCACCATCTCGATGAAACACAATATTTGCCCTGTAAATGGCATTATCTTTTACATCTGACCAGTAAAGTTTTCCATCCTCGACGTCAAAATCAATGGCCACTGTTCGGCTTGAGTTTGAGAAAACGTCACCGTAATTTCTACCATTCAAACTAACTTGGCGAATGCTTTTCCTGTTTGCTAACAATAACCATGCCTCTTCTTCACCTGAAAAAAGAAACAAGCTTTGAAAAATTATACATCATCACCAAAGTCCATCTAATGGCCTGTGGAACAGGCGCCATTTAATTAGTTTTACAGAGGAGCAGAGGCAAGTAGGAGGCGAACACGAGAAAAGCTCAAGAAGAGTGCGAGGAATGTGCGAGGGGTGAGTTACGCACAACTAAATTAAGACTCTACGTGACTCTGCTTTTACGCTCTTCGCACACTCACCTCGCATTTACATTGACTGATTTCAGCCCTTAGCACCCTAACATCAGTATCCATATTCCCCATACTGTTCTCTATACACTTCCTTTGATATTGACAAGGAGAATTTGTTTATCAATCAAAGCCTCTTAAGTTGACGATCGTTTCCTTTTATTCTCCTGATCCTAATTACTGATTCAGCAGCATTAATACGAGGAGCAATTGGATGTCAGTCACCCTGTGGATTTATCGTTTCGTGAAACAGATCAAGTCGCACAGATAGACAGTGTATGGCAAAGAGGGTGGCTTTGCATTTTAACAAGTAAAAGTCTAAAAATTAGAGAGAGAAAATTTACCTTTTGGACGACAGGTTCGTGGTGGTTCATAAACGTAACCATCCAAACAGGAGCACTTGTAAGACCCCTCAGTGTTGATGCATTCATGATCACAAATTCCAAGAATAAAACACTCATTGATATCTAAATTTAAAAAGTGCAAAGTAAATTTATCAGTCCACTAGTGCGACATTTTAATACATTAGGGCATAGAACAGTGTTGATGCATTCATGATCGCATATCTCAAGAATTAAACAATCATTGACATCTGAATGTAAACAGAACAAGGTATATACCTCTTTACTAAACGAATTCGAAGTCTGTACTGTAAGTTATGGACCGAGTTCTATCAGTTTTATGGCCGAAGGGCGAATTCGAAGACTACAGGCTATACACCCGAGCAGAAAAAACAAGATTCAGTAACTTTCAGTAAGCACCTAGTACGTAAGATATATTTATTCTATCTCTGGGTTTAAACAAAGGGATAAGATTTCAATTCAAATAAACTTTTAAAATTAGCGGGCCGTACAGTTATCACTTTGCATTTATCTTAAAAAGGCAGTTGATATCATTTATCGTTTGAGCAAATGCAAAATTGCTTGTACTAAGTAATTAATTCTCACCGTTACATGAAATCCCATCAGAATCAAGACTATAACCAGGTCTGCAGAAACACTCTGCTCCACTTCGAGTCTGTTTACAGATTTGGCTGCAATTTTTCAGCTTCAAGCAGTTTTCGTTTACTGCAAACAAAACAGTTCAACTTTACCACCACAAATAATGTCTTTACTGGAAGTTCTTTCTCAATTCTAACGATTAACAGCTATTATAATAAGTTATGTCAAGAAAAATATTGCGATTTGTCTCTTCGGCCGGCCGATTTTGGCAACAAGATTAATTGCTTGCCAAAACCCCTGGCCGAATAATTGATCCGCCAGACACAGCCAACGATTTAAACGAAAAAAACAGGGTTGATATCGCACCACTTCATTTCGAAAACTGAGGCAGAATACCTGGCATGGCGCTTCTAACCTTTTACAACTTAAAATCAGTATGCATATTCTCCATACTGTTCTCTATACATTTACTAAGGTGTTGACAAGGAGAATTTGTTTAATAATCAAGAGCTTCTTTAGTTGGTGATCATTTCCTGTATTCTCTGACTTTAATGCGTGATTCAGGGGCGATATTGTACGGAGAAATTAGCTGCTTGTCGCTCTTTGAGTTCAGGACTAAAAGAAAAGCAGTCATAACAAGCTGAGCCTAAAGCTGATAGAAGAGTAATTTAGACAATTAACTTACGGCAATGTGGTCCTTCATCAGAATTATCACCACAATCATTATTTCCATCACACACTTTAGCTAAGTCCAAACAGTGAGATGTTCCAACACACTGCCATTGATTCGATGAACATGTCACAGGACCTGGCATTAGGGCACAAGATGAAATGATTGGTTTAGTTAAAAATTGTTGACGGGTCTACTGCCATTCGCAAATGATCTTTTGTGATGACTTTCTTCAGCGTTGTGATAATAGAGATGGCTCTTTAGTTGTTTTTTAAAATGGTACAGGGTTCTTAATTTTTTCAGAAACAAATTGCAAGGACTTTTTCAGGACTATGATTGATTTTTCCATGACTCAATTTCGCCTTCAACCCTCTCATTCCCAAGATTTCAAAATCAATTCTCCTCACGATCTACATGTATTTCTTACAACGTAGATTCTAAAAACTTTATTCCTAGATTTAAGCAGATTTCCAGGACTTTCCAGGACCTTTAGTCTTTTCCCAGGACTTTCCAATCCTGGAAAATGTCAAGATAAAATTTCAGGACTCTCTAGGTTTTCCAGGACACGTAAAAACCCTGATGGTACAATTTCCTTATCAGTATTCTCCAATCTTGGAAGTGAGAGCAAAATTTAGCTGCCAGAAGTGGCTGTATGCATACAGAATCATAATAATGACCCATAAAGCAGATATCCTTGGCTCATGATTAAACACTAGTCTTATACAAATACAGAATCAATAGGCGATAATTAAGAATTGATTACCGCAGTTTTGTTCATCAGAATTATCATCACAGTCTTTATCCCCATCACATTTCCAGTTGATATTTATGCATTTTCCATCAGAACATCTGAACTCAGTTGCCTCATCACAGGCATTTTGTGCTACAAATAGAAAATGCAAAGCAAAAAAATTCATGTTCTGTAGAAGATGAAAAAAGGGATTCTCAAACACTTAACATCTCTAATTGATTATACAACAATCACACATTCAAGCCTTAGGAAATCTGCACCAATTGAATTTGCAACCATGAAGACTATCAGGCATGCAAAGATCAAAAGCCAAATTATAGATCACTACAAAAAAAACTCTTTTTGAAGAAGAGATTGGTGCAATAAATTGAGCTTAAACGTTTTGTAGTGTAATTAACCTCAATTATCTTTAGCCATCCATGTTCCTTCATTATATATCATTTCCTTCTGTATTTTTTTCAATCTCAATGGGCTTATGTAAGGTTAACCCTTTAACTTCCAACATCTCATTGGTTCTTCTCCTTACTGTACCCTTACAATTCTTATGATGTTCATTTGGAGAATTTGTTATTGGATCAACTAATGAATATTTTTCTTTATTCTCGTTACTTGTCTGCTTGGAATTGTATTGATGTTGTAAGGAGAAATTCTGTCTTCATCACTAGTGGGAGTTATAGGGTTGATGAAGTCTGTACTTGAGTTAAGCAACCCACCCACCTCATCACACTTATCCTTTTTCCGCAGCACAAGGAACAAGGGATATTTCTACTCCCCCCTGGATGGGATGCTAGTCCATCACAAAGTTACCCCACCAACCTCCCCCCCCACCCCCCTGTATTTCATTATGCCCTGGGGGTTCATCTACAGCACAACTTGTAAAAATACTCAGCTATACTACACACCAAAATGTGTAATAAGTCTAACAAGATGTATGTACTCCTGAATGAAGAGAGGCAGAGTGAGAGTAAAGCATTTTGCCCATGAACACAACACATTGACCCTGACAGGCCCTGAACACAGAGCTCTCTAACCAGAGTCCAAGGCACTAACTATTATGCCACTCAATGATGCTCAAAACATCATTTCTTAAGTGATCAAAACTTTCTGGTGAAGTGAGTCATCCTTGTGAAAAGGCTTCAGTGGTTCAAACCTAGTCTGCATGGTTCAGGCTAATTCCTGAGAGACATAATAACACTTACTGCAATTGACCTCATCGGTCCAATCCCTGCAATCATCCTGCTCATCACAAACCCAACTTGCATCAATGCATCGGCCATTTCCACACCTGAAGTTTCCAGCTTCACAAGGTGGACCTACAATAAATAGAAATGGCTTAATTTAGGAGATGCAGATAAGAATATACATGTATCATTCACAGTAGCTTAAAAAGCATCCTTGCTACCACAGGAGTCCTGAGAGTACTCTTACTAAAAATATATAGTCCCCTTCAGCACTCTGAAAAAAAACATTATTTACTCTAAGAAATAACCACATTCAAAGTACAAGAAACAAGGATAAGAATTACGCACTTTAAAAATTACTATGAAAGCTAAAGTTTCATTTATGATAACAAAACGATCTCCTGACTCCTTAATAGAGGTGAAAATTACAGTAATTAAGGGGAAACAGGTGCAGGACTTTAATTTTCGACAACTGACAACTTAATACAGTGTGACCACTTAATACAGGTTCTGCTGTAATTCTCAAGAAAGACTTTGTTCACTGTGCCTCATGCTTTGGTTTGGCCACCATAACCCTTTACACCCTGACATCAATATGCATATTCTCTGTACTTTTGTCTTAACATTTCCTAAGGTGCTGGCAAGGAGAATTAGTTTAATAATCGAGAGAGTCTTAAGTTGGTGATCACTTCCTTTACTCTCCTGACCTTAATGTGTGATTCAGGGGTGATATTGTAAGGAGAATTTAGATCCTAGTCACTCTTAGGGGTCAAAGGGGTAAAGCTTTCATCACACAAGAAAAAAAGATATGTAGAAATCATTGTTGGATAAAAAAATATAAAAAAAACGTAGTTTCTCCCAACAGGAGGCACAACAGCCCAGTGGTAGGTGGATACTTTTGACCTTACCTGGTTCACAGCCATGTTCATCTGACATGTCCCCACAGTCATAATCCCTATCACATCTCCACTCCATAGCAATACACTCCTTTCCATTAGCACAGCTGAAGTCATGGCTGGCACAGGTATGATTTGCTGTAAGATTGTTCATATATATTAATTTTTGTCTAAAAAAATAGTTTGTCAGTGCCATGTACACAGCAGTGAATGTTTAGAAAAGCTAATATCCATTTGTTCCAGTACCTCACTTCAGGGGAATAAAAACTGATGAACACTAGGGCACAGAAGCAGATACTCAAAAAGGAGTACCACAACTCTAGCGTACCAGCTACAACATGCAGAAACAGTGCCTTCAATATGACCCAGCACCCACCCTAGCTCTGGCTCATATTCAGTTGTAATCACTGGGTATACTTTGGATGCTTTCAAGCAAACTCACAAAGTGAGTCCTAAAACACCTCAAGATCTTCTAGAGTTCTTTCAGTCAACTTTTACTTTTATAAACAAATTTTGATAAAAATGATTAATATTGTCTTATCATATATTTATGCATACATTTCATACATTTCCAGCAGATAAAACAATTAATTAGTTGAAACAATCGTTATTACAGAGACGAATATTTAACGATCATCTACAGAAGTAACACCAAAAACTATGTTTGAAGCCAGTTTATTCTGAATGGAAGTAATGGATAAGAGGAAAATTGTTTTTTAGATTTTTCTCCACTAAGCAGGTGCTTTACCAAGGTAGGCACCTCCTTCAAATCTTATTGAAAACACTATGAAAAGAACAATGTGAAAAAGATTTCCGCTCCTGCATGGGTCTTGTCAGCCACAAGTGACACTGTTTCATCAATTCAGATGTCCAATACAGCTAAAATGTATCACTCATGGTCAAGCCTACCTGACAGGAGCCTCATAATTATTAATAACTGTAATATCTACTTATAGTGATAAAAATCATATCAGTTGTGTAATTTTATGCACTGGCACACGGTAATTATGATGAATAACCCACCACAATCCACTTCATCACTGCCATCGTCACACTCTTCCTTGCCATCACACTGCCAGCGTGTAGGTATACAGCGCAATTTATCGGCACATTGGAATTGGGAACTGGAACATGTTGTTGCTTCCGCTATTGGAACAAATATTATCACATTAACCCTTTAAACCCAAGAGTGACTGGCATCTAATTTCTCCCAACAATATGAATCCTGAATTACACACTCAGGTAATGAGAATACATAAAATGGTCACCAGGGTAGGAACCTTTTGATTGGCAAACAAATTCTCCCTGTCAGCACCTTTGGAAATGTATAAAGAACAATGTGGAGATTATGCATACTGGTCTTAGGGTGTAAAGGGTTGAAAGCTTGTGAATATGTGTAAAATAATCAACAAAAATTTAATACACTCCACAGATGCTTACAAAGCCAGTTTTGAAAAGCATAATAGATGTAAGTATCCAAAGAAACTATGGTGCTGCATCAGTGAGGGAAATTACAAGATAATTTGGCTTTATTAACTGAGTTATTAATATAATATACTGTAAATTGGAGACAGTATTGAGATTCTGAAGCTGATGCTTCTTGCATGAATCTCATTTCCTGGCCTGAGTCTCTTGTTGCAAGCAAAGGGCCTTCACTGAGACACTGCATCATTTACCAACCCCACTTAAAAGATCGGCCCAATTTCTTAGCAACCACCCTGTCTCTGGTGAAAATTTAAGATTTAAGGTTGCCAAATTGTCACTTTGAAAAAAGTTGTGCTTGGAACACTACCTTAACTTTTCTTGTGAGGCCTGTATATTTCCACAGAAACCAATTCATATACACTCATTCTAGAAATATCAAACTCACAACAATCCTTTTCATCTTCACCATCCTGACAGTCAATATCATCATCACACTGCCATGTTTTAGGGATACACCTGTTATTGCATGCAAACTGCAGTGGTGAACAAGTCCTTCCACCTGGAAAATAACCACATAAAAAAGTTTGAAACGCAGGTACTACTTTGTGTCACCTTACAATAAATACTTGAACACCCAAGATCTAATTGATGATTCTCTCCTTCAGCTATTATACATTTCCTTGTAACTTAATTACAAGAATTTGGTTTTAGATCTAGATAACAACTTATATGTGATAAGTAAGAGTATTCTTATCACCTGTTTGCTTGATGATGTGTGGATGGCACAGGGAGAAGTTACAAGTATATCACATCTGGGGGTTAAATGCTCAACAGACAATCAAGGATGCCAGGCAATATTCTAAAATTATGTTCTGTGTGTACATTGATTGAAAGCTACATACCTGATTTTGTTTGGGCACAAAGCTATTTATTTGGTCATATAATAATTATTGCATGATAGCTTTTACACAGGTTTCAAAAAATTGCATGCATATTTCAAAAAATGCACCCACCAACCTGGCAAGAGACAAATCTTTTCTTAAGGTGTGGAGCTATTGTAAAATTCAGGAAAAAAATTTGAAGACTCTTTGATTTGATTCTGACAGGTCATTTGTTACCTCACCAATAACAATAAAGCTTAGAACACGCAAGAGTACCTCAAAACCACAAACTGATTACCACTGCTAATTGCAGTTCAGCTTTTCTTATGCCTGATTGGCTTTTTCATTGGGACACATACATACACTTAAAAAATCACATAAATATTTATCAGTGTAACCAATAAGTGCTAGTCTGCAGGTAAAAACCAGCTTCCTCAAATTCTGAGGTGCCTACATTCTGAAAGATATTGTGTGTAATGGAAAAAGATCAAAGATGGAAGCACAGGGTACTGATTTCTCAATTTGTGTTTTTGTTTATTACTCCATCTCTTGCAAATACTGAGTACCACTAGTTCTTTCCTTGTGAAGGTTGTCACAATGACTTAGGCTGAAATCTATGATAAATATTAAGTTGTGCATGGATAGTATAAACAGAGACCCTGGAAAGCAGCCAGAATTATCAGTCATCTACTCAACACAGCTAGCCATCTATTTCCTGACTTATTAAGAATTTATTATCAAATTATCCCAGTAACACAGTAAAGAAAAAAAAAAAGGAAAAAGAAAAGTGGATTATATACAAAAATGTAAACAACTAACCACAATTTTCTTCATCACTACCATCAGAGCAGTCCGGAAAGTCATCACACTCCCATGACTTATCAATGCAGCTTAATCCATCTTTACAGGGGAACTGTGAAGGATGACAGCCCTTTCCTGAGACAAAATGAAAAATATATCATAATGTTGAACTGTAAGTTCATTATACACTTCACCTGTACAACTAGTAGTGCAATTTGGTGTTAATAAACACAAGTAAATTTTTCAAAGACAACAAAATTGCACAAGCCTGTTGTAGTCTTTGAAATATTTTTATGTGCTTTTTAACACCAAATTGCACAAGAAAGTGTTACATGAAAAATGCACCATTTTCAGCCAATCAGACGCACATGACTTTTTTAATGTATATCATTGGGGTAGGTTAAGTCTGCACTTGAGCCATGTGACTCAACCACCTGGATCAACTGCCTATCGTGGTTTCCATAGCATGAAGTATTACCACCCCTCCTGGATGGGATGACAGCTTGGGGCATCACAAGGTTACCCCTAGCATTTTATCAGCTTCCTTGACAATCTACCAGTACCCATTTATACTCCTGGGTGGGGAAGGCATTGTAAAGTAATGTATTTTTGAAAAGAACTCAACACATGGGCCCAGCCAGGTCTTAAAGAGGAGGGCATTGAGGTCTAAAAGTACTAACAAATTTGATCAAAACCAATAAATTTTCACATCCCAGTAATCAAAAAAATCACAATGACCCTCTCCTTGAACCCAGACCTCTGACAACCCAGAGATCACTGCATAAAACCTCTAGGACTCTGCATCTCCTTCTTCAACTGAGTGGAGCTAACAGGTTTCCGTTAGTGTCAAGTAAATCTTATCAGAGTCAAAAGGATGCACCCTGATTATGATTAATAAATCTAAAAGGGATCAAGACAAAAAAAATCCAGTAATAGAACAATACCTTTTGATAAAATGCAAACTTTGAGGTTTTAAGCTAATTTGGCAATTTTATTTCATGTTGCCATCAATAGCATTGTAATGGGCAAGTCAAAGAAGAACTTGAACAAATGCTTTTATCTTTTACACCCAAACATCAATATACATATTCACCATACTGTTCTCTATACATCTCCTTAGGTACTGACAAGGAGAATTTGTTTATCAATCAAAGCTTCTTCACTTGGCAATCTAATCATTTCGTAGGTCGACAATTATTTCCTTTACTCTAGTCATCTTAATTAATTACTCAGGAGTATTATTGCTATAGGGGAGAATTAGATGCTAGTCACACTAAGGGTTCCAAGGATTAAATTACCCACACCACTATCACAAGTCAGGAACAACCTTTTGAATCTTAAAAAACATCACACCTGTTTTCTAAGAGCTCTGGACCCAGCTGTTTGAAAGATGATCAGTGCTGACCCAAGGTTAAATTTTAATCTGGATTTATTTTTCCTTTTGGGATAGTTTCGGGTGTTCTTTTTAGAACATCAAATAATCATATTCTAGACAAAAAGAATTTGACTGAATTTTCTTTTAAAGCTATCAGATCTGAAACAGATTTCACACTAACCCTTGGTTATCTTAACTTAGCTTTGAACAACCTGGCCCTGAATGATGGACAGAGGCAACAACCAAATAATGAATGAACAAACAACTCACTCACTGCATGATGCTTATCAATTTGTTGATAAGAAAAGTAAAGGAAGAAATAAATCCTTTTACCCTTTTACTCCCAAGATCAAATTATTGATTCTCCCCTCAAGCTGTTACACATTTCCTTGTAAAATGGTAACGAGAATTTGGTGTTCGATCATGATAACAACTTCTACCTGATAAGTTTGAATATTCTCATTACCTATTTGCTAGATAATGTAAGGATATTATAGGGAGAAGTTTCATGTTGATCACTTCTGGTAGTCAAAGGGTTAGAAGGAAGAGAAAGAGGGAGACACTCAAAGAGAATATTTCATACTGGTAGATCACATCTTTGGGAGCTTAGAACCAAAGAAAATGTGAAACCAATGGTTGGCCATAAAGAAAGCTTTTACCTCACAGAGAAGGAGTGCTTTAGAAAGAGATATGTACACACATTCATTTATTAACACATAAATACCCAAGGTTGTACAGAAACCAGAAAACTGAGAAGTTCTTATTCACCTAAATAAAAATTTGTCAAAACTGCCAACAACTTAGGCAAAAAATATAAGAATGTTGCCCTTGCAATGTGCAAACTTTCTTAAAATAACACTTGGCAATATATTTAATAGTAACATACCTCCATATAATAATAATAATGGCAGCAAAAGAGATAATATGATTTTAAAAACAAAACAAAGCAAACATGCTGTTGGATGACATGAAATCAAGATATAATTTTACAAAAAAACCCTTACACATATTTATGAGATTTTCAACTAGAAATGATGATAAAAAACTAGAATTTTGTCACACATATTTTAAACAGACTTGTATATAAAAAAACAGGACACAGATAGGTCAATATCATTTGTCAATATATATGCCACATACACAATACAAATTCTTAATTTCCGCAGCTGTCAAATTCACAATTATTTTCAAACAAGTAAGCATGATTTACAATCCAAACCTTTTTAAGGCTGAATCAACTGTTTGCAAATAAAGGTATTTTGCAAGATTTAACAAATGAAAGAAAATATCCACAACAAATGTCTACTGTTTAAAGTTTTCTTGAGTTTAAAAACTTTTTTTTATGTTGTTAGAATACTTGAGTTAACAAACTATTTACATGTTGTTGTTAAAATATTGATATGTAATGATATTTTTAAGAGTGAAAAGTCCCAGATACCAAATCTAAACTTCTTACAATTTTAGTAAGCTTTAAAAGCCAAGGACCAATAATTTTTGAGGAATAAATATCTATGATCCCTTCAGGGTTTACAATGAATCCCTTTAAATTTTCCATGCCACTTAATTTAAATACTTTGAAAGAAACTGACTTCCACAAAATATGTTCGTTTAACAGGGATAAAAAAAAAAGGCTGAGTGGTAAATGTGTCCCGCATGCCTTTTTTTTTAAACTGTCCATGAAAATATTATTTGCGCATTTAAATAATATTTTTTTGACATAAAAATTCACGTGAAAGTCAAGTTGTCAATTTCGTCACCTGTTATTAAAACTTACGCATATTATTTATTCGTTACAATTTTCCCGTATATTTATAGGTATTTTAGCTTCAGTATACACAAAAACTTTGTAAATGATTCATTTTTATAAGCGTTTGTTAAAAACTAATTCGCACTTTCCAAACCTAAACAATAGCTCGAGGGCTTCCTTTGCTGGCTCATTAATATGTTTTGATCGATATCTTGAACACGTGTTTTGAGCTTTGCGAGGTTTTTGTAAAAGTACTAAACGAATGGAAGGGATTAGTCAAGTCAAGTTAAGCTCTCTTGCCTTGATTGATGGTGGAAATTCGAAGAAACACAACCCAGATGTGACAACTAAGGTTGTGACCTTTCGTAAGCTCCACCATGAGATTGATTAGTCGTTTTGAACACTCACACGACATATCGTAATACTATGCACAAACTCTTTGCTTCATGAACATACAAAATATTGCTTGGGATACCAAGAAGGAGACATGTAACGTCAAAATAGCGGCGTTCAGAGGATTAAAACGGGAAAAAACGGGATGAAACTGCAAAAGTTAACTGCGTTTGTATTTCAGTCAGTGCTAATGGACTTATGACTTACCGTACGCGAGTTGTACACAGCAAAGATAAGTCCACAAAACTACCACAAGTATTGCATACTGAGCAAATCGCGCAAAATCCATAGCTTCCAATTCTTGTGCTGTTCACTTTCATGGGTTACGACGGCATTGTATAGGAAAATGAAGAGAAGATGAGTAGTCAAACCGCTAGGCTTCGCCGAAGCCAGAAGCCGTGAACTTCAAGTCGCACCACAGTACAACCACTTTAAGACACGCGGGCTTTTAAGTATGCAAATATTCTACAGTGAGTGATGCCTTGCCACTTATCACTATTAAATCTTTACAAATATAGACATCGGAATTTTCTAACTTCTGATTTTAGCTCAGCAAGTAGACAAGCATTTACAAAACTGTTATGACTGTGAAGTTGATCAACATCACACCGGGAATCACGCGGAACTCTGGTAAATCTGGCTTCCATGTGCAGTAATTTCCATGTTTCAGTAGTGTCGGGTTTAATTCCGGCACCGTAAAAAAGAAAAATTCAAGTCCCGTGACTGAGATCGAATGAAAGTAAGATTTTGCAAGCGAACGAAGTGATTTTCGGTCACGGGACGTCAAGCGTGCATTTCACGTTTTCTAGTTAAATGTTCTTTGACCACAATCTAAGCATCCACCCTTGTGGTTTTACTAAAAGTTTTGGAACAGTGCTATCGCTCTCTAAGGTCGAGAGCAGTAATTGTATATAAATGACTACAGGCAAAGGTTTGCACTTTAGATCATGTTAGCTCTAAAGTTCAACTGAATAGTAATAATAGTTCTGGCTAACGTTTACTCACCGGCAAGAACACAATTTTTGAGCATTCGAATGGCCTTGCATGCCTGACGAATTCATTGATATTCGTCCCATGTCAGAGATCGGTGCCCCTAAGGATTCTCGCATCGTGCGAGGCTAAGAAGTGTGTTCAGATCGATAGCCCTTGATAAAATTTTGCCCATCAATGCACAGTGTTAACCTTGGGTTAATGATTAATGATGAAGTTCTGATGTAGCGACGAGCGGAGAAATCGTTTAAACTTTAAAAGTTTGTCAGCGACATCTAAAATGAGCTATGCTTAATTCAGAACAAAAAAAGACAAAAGTAAACCGATGATAATATTTAGTGATATATTTCTATTATTTAGAATTAATAATATCTGAAGCATTCCTCTTTGAAGAGGGTTTTTCTCTAATTTTTCCAATGAGATTGTCAGAATTTTTTGCAAATGTTTTACACCACAAATATGCCTGAGGACTGGAATATTGTCTATCATATCTAATCAGAGCACTCGCGTTTTTTGCTATCTTTATGGCGATCAATGAACTAATCCAGTTCTAAGATTGTGAATTTAGTGAATTCCACAATCAATACGAGCTGGTTAGAAAACCATTTGAAATTGAACTTCACCCTCTTTGGATGGCTTCGACCAAATGCCACGCCTTATTTCAAAGGCTCGACCGAGTTTTCGCTCAGTCACGCCCTTGCCCTCGCTCATCAAAGACATAGAATATAGAGGGAGTGATTGTGAATGATGAGCTCAAACGACCAGGTGGCCCGTTTAGAGGGAGGAATTACATATGACGTTCAAATGCGAGTTTGCACAGGTTACATGGCTAAAAGTTCGGCCCGACTTGTAGCATTCGTTGGAGAAATATCCTGCTCCGAGTTAGGGGAACGAATTCTGGTCATCGGATCGATTACTCCATGTCGGTTGAAAATATCTGCTCGAACGTGAAATTTCATCGAAGTCCCACTCGATGAACAAGAAGAGGAAAGGCACTCAGTTGCATCCCCATCGCCCACACTGAGACTGAAGCCAGTTCATAAGGGACATTCTCGAGGTACATCTTGGTTACAAAAACCAAAGGTAAATCCAGCCAGGGTCAAGGTCCGGAGGATTCATTAAAAACACCCTGCTGGCGCCGATGATATTCAAAAACAGTCACCGTCCAGTGTCTAAGGAGTCACAATAACTTTCTTTTTTCGATATGTGGCTAACGATTACGTAATAGTCGGCTGTGCCGTAAGGCGAAACCGAAACGCTAGAGCCAGCTCGCAGGCTAAACAGACGGCAGTAAAAGGTTTATGGCCAGCGGTTGGGCTGGCCTCGATTTTGCTTGGCAACTCTTAGCATTTAGAGCAGGCTTTTACGGTTTTAACAACTTCGAGCAATTTTTGCCTATCCGGAGCAATTTTTGAGCTGATGATAGGTTTAGAGAACATATCAAGTACGGAAAAGTCGACTATCTAAAAAACGTGTAGCCGTACCCTCCCCCCACCAAGGTGAAACGGAGGCGAGGCTTCCGTTTTTAGCTAAAATGACGTTCCGCAGGACGTCAAATGATCGTTGTATTGTGTTCCATTAGACTGAAGTACGTAACCTTGAATGTCGCCCATATTTACGAGCAACTCTTAAAGATAAGTTTCCAGCTACTTTTTCTTGACCGATGTTAGCAATTATTGTGAATAACGAAAAATAAAGCCTTTGATGTTGATCTCAAAATATCAAGAAATGTATGTAGCGACTTTAGAAAGTTAAGTAGAAACTTATTGGATTTTCGGAAATTTGTTGGCAACTTTTTTGGCATTCCAATAAGCAACTTTTCAGCATTTTACGAACACAATCGGAACAAGCCTCGCGGCAGTGCAGTAGACCACCGGTTTATATAATTAACCAGCTTTTATTCAAACCTTTGGGGCCCGCTTCTCAAAAGTCCCGTTAACTTAACGGGCCCAAAGCCATATTTTGAACTCAAAATTTAAAGAATAGATAAACAGGTTCTGGCTCCCTCAGTATTCCATTTTGTTTCTTTAGCTGACAGTTTTATTGCAAAACTTACAAAACTTTTCGAAACTATCCGATCTTGAATGAAAATAGATCAGCTTTACGGGCCCGTTAAATTGCCGGAATCTTCGAGAAACGGGCCCCTGGACCTCGGTGTCTTAATGATAGGCCGTCAAACTAACAAAAACGTGTAATATGGTCATAAATACTGATCATGACGTCAAATAATGTAAGTATGTAAGTATAGAATGTCCAGACGGCAATTTTATTTCAGTCCCGACTCAGGAGATCTCATACGCTGGGCTAGTTTGTAACAAGTTTCTGTGAATCTATAAAACTATATACATTCAAGTCTGATCGGTGGCATACTTTTTAATTTTTTTTTCCTCATCTAATCAATCTTGTCAGTATGGCTAGTTCACAGTGCTTCCTTCAACGTCATTTACAAATTGGCGTCACATAATGATAACTTTTTATTTGGATCTTTTGCTATAAAATTATATTCCTTATCTATAGTTTTAACCTTTGAGAGCCGATTGTTATGTAGACCTCAAAATATTCCCTTCCATTTGTAATCGAAACTGAGATCACAAGGTGCCGGGGAAGAATCCATTATGATATCTTGTGGTGGTCCATTATTAATTACATGCATGCTTTAATATTTTCTCGCGATTTTAATTGGGTATTCCAGGATTTCTTTTGAGATTTCCCGGCCATTATATATTTAGGTGGTAATGAGATAAATAAATAAAATGGAATATTCATGCAAAATATCGTCAATTTAAAAGGCGAAAATACGTCCGGCACATGACTTTGGTCGATCGCCACGATCAGCATAAAAAAACACACAGGGCGTCTCCGTTTCCGGAGTATGCACGTGCGCTGATGTACGAGTATCAAGCAGCTCTTTTTAAAGGAATTGTTTTGACTATCTATGAGAAGACGCCCATATCTTAGAATAATACCATCTACCATCTACGATGTCACTTTTGAAGGAAACGGAGATTATCTTCTACAAAATGCCGGAATTGTTCCTAAATATTAACAGGGGAATAACACTCTCACAAAAGATGATGGTATTAGCGACACCTAGGCTTAAAAAAATATATGATATCCTATCGGTTCACAACAACAGGAAGTAGACGTAATAGGTACCTTTTGGGATCTTTTATTCAAATTTTGACGCGTACATAGGATAGTCACTTTAATTTAATCTTAAAATCATCGTGAAACGTACATGTATATATCTTTCTATCCGGCTCTGTACAACTACAGGAATGCCAAGTGTATTGTTCCTTTGTTCTCCATCATACGTTCTGTGAAAGTATTTAAGGGAAAACAGCATGTATGAGTTACCAAGCGGATTCATATGGTTAATATTCAGTTCCCGGAAAACGCAAAAAAGCGAAACCATGTGATCAGGTGGGCCACGCGGTGGCTAATTAAATCATGAGATGCCCTAAACATTTCACATTATGGTTCACGTACTGAAAAAGAAAAAAAAAACTTAACACATACTTTCTATTTTGAGTTTCCCAAACAATTCGTAACAGCAGAAGCGATTGAAGGAAATAAAATTTAATCACCCTAATTTCTCTCCTAAAACTGTACTCTTTGTATTTATGAGAACCTGTGAACCGTTTTGCTTGTTTCATCGAAACGCGGACAAAATAGTTGGCCAGCATCGAGCCATATAACCTGACGTTTATCACGGTGGTTAAATTATTTTTTATCATCTAGAGGTAAATGAACTATGAATGACTTACGCCAGCCAATGTACTGTGGCGCGTGACGTTCCTCATCGCCGGTAGCAAAAATCTACGAGCGTGAACTTTGGTCACTGCCACACACAGCAGACTGTTTTTCCGAGAACAGCATAGCCTCCGACCCAGGCTTCTCACAGCCATGCAGTACCCCACAAGACCGTGAGCGCTTTTCATTCAAAAAAAAATTTGGAATTATCACCGGTCGACTGGTCGAAAAGAACGCATCCTATACGCTAGTATTTGAGGTCGCGTGCTCTGTATCACCAAGCATGCTGAGTGCATTTCGTTGTGTTTCGAAATGGCGGACGTTTTGAACATTTTCGCGGCAGAAGAACCATATAGTTCTCGAAGCCAGTTCTGCCTCGGCCTTTCTCACCACAGCTAACAGTTTTTGAAGGCAAAACTAGGGTGGGGTGTACTCTTAGACACCCTTTCTTATTTACGTTCGCGTATATAAAGTATATCATAGTTATTAAATCATCACAGCTTCTTTCTCAGATTAAGTTTACACCGAAGTACATTTTTCTGTATTCGTGGTTAATCCTGCAGTCCTGCACAGTTTGACATCAGATTCTTGTGCCTTTGACAAATAAGAAGACGAATCCGTTTTAAGACCGTTCCGGTTCGGCCGCTGCTTCAGAGATTGTGCTCGAATGACAAACCAGAAGACGAACCCGTTTCAAAACCGTTCCGGTTTGGCCGCTGCTTGGAGATTGTGCTCGAATGACAAACCAAAAGACGAATCCGTTTTAAGACCGTTTGTACTCGAATGCTTAAAAATCCGGAATCGAAAAAAAAAAAGAGCTTCTTCTGTGGGTAAAACATAAAAGTTCCTTTAATAGGACGGGTTCAGTCGGATAGCTCCTCACCCTATATCTGACACCGAGAAAAATTAAAATATTC